AAACCATTTATACAAAGAAATTCTATACAGTTCTATACAAAGACAATAGATAAATAAATAATATTGCAACAGATTCATTTTGATAATTTTCTTTTGTTAAATATACATAGGTACTTGAAAATTCAACAATATGTTTATATTGACTCTGTCTCAAGTATTTTGTGAGAATAACCAGTTTTTTGACATCTCGTCTTTGAATTTCATCAGTCTAAAATGTGTTTATTTATGATATTATAATATATAGATATTTTATTTACCTACATTAATATGGACCTGTAAACTTGGTAAAATTACAAAGTTAACAAATTATATTATCTTTATGAGACCAGGTTTAAAAAGACGAAAGAAAAAATATAAGGAGGTTAAATTCGCACAAAAAAACAATATTGTAAAGCCTTATTATATTAGTACTTTCGTTCGCGTCGAATTAATCATTTGTAATGGTGATGATAAAGCAAAGCAAGAATTTCCATTAACATACAAACTGGATAAAATTTTCTCACATTTATGTCAGCATGAGAAAAAACAATATAGCGATATTATTATATAACTTGGTAATATTTGAGGGGTAGTTTCATCTCGTTGGAATTTGCTTCTGGTATGGAAAGGTGCATTATCGTGCAGGAAATTAAAATTATCCCCTAATCGCAGCTCTCCAAAGCCTAACGATTGGTTCTAGTCTTTGAATAAAAAGTAGCGATGGGAACTATCGAATGAATTAGACTATCGAATGGTTACTGAATGAATGATTTCAACCATCGAATGGTTTTATTCGAATAAAATCATTCATTCATTTGTATACTAAAGCATATGTGACAACCTCGCCGTGCAACTAAATGGTTATCGTTGAGCCACGACTATCGAATGCTTTTGATCATTTATCAAAAGCATTCGATAGTCGTGGCTTATATTTAGTATTCGTTTGATTTTTGTGTGCGTCAGTGCATTATTAGTTCTTCCAAATTTTTATAACTTCACCTTATAAATAGTGTGTCAATTTTGGGTATACTAAAATATTTAAAATACTAAAATAGTAGTTTTTTTTAATTGACGATTGTGTGCGTGTGCAGGTGTCAATTTTTTTCCGATAATTTGTGTGATTTTCCGTAGCCCGATCTTTCAATTATTTTATTTTATATGGTATATATGGTCTATTTTTTAATGGGAAATTTTGAGAAGTAGCAATTTTTAAGAGAGATGAGATGAACTTAGAATTAATTTTAAAAATCCATATTTGTATTTTAGATGTTTAAATAATATGAATTAGTTGAACTTAATAATCATATTTAAGAAATGTGGTTAAGTAAATGGTTATCGAACTCAAACTATGGGGTGAGAAAATTAAATTGAAAGTTTTACACGTGCCAATTTAAAAAAAAAGTTAACGATGTTGTATTTTGTTTATGCTAATTCTCTTACATGTAGTTTTTTGCGAAGAACTATTTCATTTACTTTGACATTGTAAACATTTATATATGTTTATTTTAACAATAAGACTGACAATATTATTTGTATAATGTTTTGTTTTATCTTTTGTTTGTTTGTTTGTGTACCTTGTTATTTTTTACTTTGTTTGTTAGTTTACCTTTGTCCACAAATTGAAAAATTTTTTGACAATAAAGGCATTTATTTATTTATTTATTTATTTTAATGACCAGATTTTTTGAAACACCCTGTATACATTTTTAAAAAATCTTAAAATATGTAAAAAACAAAATAAAATATACATGTTTAAGCTTTTTTTCGGAAACTTGACCGTTTTTTAAATAAAAAATATTGTAATATTTGGGGGGTGGTTTCACACTCTTGGAACTGGAATTTCGAAAAATCCCTTCTTATCGAACCTCTACACCCTAGAATCAACCTGTATGCCAAAATTGAGCTTCTTACGTTGAGTGGTTTGAGCAGGATCGTGATTAATCAGTATGTCAGTCACTTAAGGATTTTATATATTAGTATAGATATTTGATTTTTTTTTCATTTTCTCTATCTGATATTACCTTACACCTCTAAAACGGCCTACACAAGTAACGATTTATTGTACTGCATGCAGTACGATATCCATCGAAACTGCCACATTAACGATCAATGGTAGCGTGTGAAGGGAAATTGGAAGTTTGCAGTATGCAGTCGTCAAATCGTTCGCAGTACGGAGCTTCCGTAAAATATCGTATCAACGGGTCGTGTCTGGAGTCTGGGGTGGGGTTTGAACGCAAGTCTGAACGTGCGGAGTGTATTCCCTACCGCAGCGCGCAGTTACGATTTTTATTTATTTTTGGTTTAATCAATATTATGGATTTAAAAAATAAGACGTTCTGGGAAGACTTTATTGATTTATATAGAGAAAATAGATGCCTATGGGATGTGAAATCAATTTCAATGTGAAAAAAATCAAGCAGCTACCACTTTTTACACCATTTTCGCTTTTTGATTTCTTTTTGTTCATCATCTTCATCTATCAGCAATACCGCAGCTACAAGCACGGCAGCTTTCTTCTTTGAAATTCTTGACATAACGGTAGCCCTTCTCGACGAAAAGTGAATAATCTAAACTGCGGCAGTACAATGTGTTGCATCGTGTGTACAACAAATGGCTGTATTGCAAGCCGTACGATTTTCTTTACGATCTGCAGTTCAACGCGCAGTACGATAAATCGTTACGTGTGTAGACCGTTTAAACAAATAGTACCCAAGTCAATTTTTTCTAGTTATTTCAATATAAATTTGTTGCTAAGGTGTTAATATGACACCGTTCCGTTTTAAGACATTCTCTAGCTATTCTTCTGGTATGGGAAGGTGCATTATCGTGCAGGAAATTAAAATTATCCTCAATCGCAGCTCTCCAAAGCCTAACGATTGGTTCTAGCCTTTGAATAAAAAGGTTCTAGCACTAAATCAATATTATACCCCAACGCGTTAAAGTTTGTTGAAGTGGCAACAATGGAGTTTTTGCTCCCAGCATAATAAATACCTCCCAGAACATTATCCCCTTTTATAGTTTGGTACAGATTTGGCAGCTTGGAGTCTCGCTCGTCTTCCTTGAGCTCTAAAAACCCAAATGCGATGGTCATCTGATCTTAGGCCAATTCTGGTTTCATCTGAAAAAAGAACGTTTTGCCAATTCTCATTTGTCCAGTTTTGATGTTGAAGGCTGCCCTTGATAACTGTGGGATTCGTAACACTCTTCTACTATACAAGTCTCGACCACGAAGTCTTTTTCATGTGGTTTCAACTGAAACGTGCACACACGTAGCTGTCAAAAGTTGTCTTTGTTGCTCTGGTTGAGAAAGAAGGGGATTTCTTCTAGAAATTTGGCTCACAAAGTGGTCTTGTTGTTCAGTTGTGACTCTTTAACAACTTTGTCTGGGCCTGTTCTTGAGAGTTCCTAGTTCCAAGTACCTTGTTTTCGGTACAATACCCTGGGTAACGCCTACTATCTCTGCTATGTCTCTTTGGGGCATTCCTTGTCCAATGAGAGCAAAATTTCTTCCCCTCTGTACATCTGTTAATCAGGCATTTTTTATTTTTCTTTGAATTGAATGAAAATTAAATTCACAAGAAAATAAATTTAAAATAAATTTTCCTTGCTAAAAGTTTAGGCAAAAATAAAGGAATCAGTCTGATTGTGTGTATGCCAACCTTCAGTACTCAGTTACTCTGAGATCTTGCATTGAAATAAATAAATAAATAAATAAACAACGCTTTATTGTACAAAAACCCAAAATAGCTTCATCGACAAAGCATTTACAAAACAAACAAAAGCACAAAAAAATATACAAATAATAAAAAATATCATACAATACAAATCAATTCAAAAAAATGTACGTCATTAAAATTACAAATAAAACATACATGGATATTGCAGAACACAGGCGTATCAATAAAATTTTGCAATAGGAAAATTGTAAATGGATATAATCATGTAAGAGTCATAAAACATTAAATATTAAATAATAGACCTTCAACCAGTGTGTGAGATGATCAAAATTTTAAACTTTAAAAGTGTTCATGATTAAACATCAACAAAAAAGTCGTTTACCGCATATAGGGCACTCTCCAGTAAGTATGATTTCAGAGCTTTGCGAAATGCGGAAAAGCATGAAAGTTATGATATTCAAATTTAAAGCAGATGATTGTACATTTTTTGGCATTGTACAGTATTGAGCCTTTAACTAGTTCTGAGCTCGGGATTGGCAGATAAAGATCGTGCTCCGCATTCCTAAGTGGATAGTTGTGAGATGGCCTTTCGGGAATAGCAGATATGTGCTTGCAGATTAAGCAAACGGATTCAAAAATGAATAAGGAAGGAAGGGCTAGTATTTTGAAATTTTTAAAGAAATTCTGGCAGTGAGTTCTACTGTTCAATAAATTCCCAATAAATATCGAACTGCTCTCTTTTGAAGTTTAAAAATACGATCAAATTTTGTCGCGCAGCAAGTACCCCAAAATGGAAGGGCATAACGAAGATGCGACTCAAAAAGGGCATAATAGACTATTCTAGAAGTTGATAAGTTAAGTTCCTCAGAAACTGATCTTAGCGCAAAACAGGCAGCGCTTAGTTTCTTTGATATAAGAAAAAAGGAGTTTGGATAGAGTTTGGATCGGTTGCTCTAAGACGCGGGTTCTACTATTCGTTTCCACTGTGCGATCAGCCTAAATACAAACGAATACGAACAAATGGTAAAATTCGCATGGTGTATCCTCGGCTTTACACATTCTTTTAGCTGACATATATGTTATTTAAATTGTTCCACTTAAAAAATGCCAGTGAACCAAAAGAATTTAGAAATAGGTACTTAGCATAGGTGTAGCTCAGTTAAAATATGTTTTTTTTTCATTTTATTTTTTTACAAGCAAAAATATGCATCTTGAGAAAGAATTAGGTCAGAAACAATACTTAGGCACTTATCCTCCTTAAACATATACAAAAGCATATAAAAATAGATAAATCAACAGCGGGACGCGAATAAATTCCAATTTTAATCAGACTAACCCACTTAATTCATAGATAAGAAAATTTAATATAAAAACAAATAGTTACCTGATACAGGTTATTGATCAGTAAATGTTTTTTAAAAGTTGATTATTACAAATAATTTAAATTATGGTTTATCTACGGTCTTTAGTGCTGGTTTTAGTTGTTTTAGTTTTGGAGAAATGTCATGGTTTAAACAATGGTCTGGCTCTGACCCCTCCTATGGGATGGTTGAGTTGGGAACGGTTTAGATGTTTGGTGGATTGTCAGAAATATCCAAGCGAGTGTATAAGGTAAGTTTCGAATGGAAATAAGTATATCGTCAGTGAAACGTGATAACCTGGTAACTCCATTTTTTACGTTAATAAGTTTTTTTTATACCATTAGAAAGAGAAAAAAATACTCTATAAGTAGGGAAAGCAAACACATTTTTTCCCATTAAAGAATTTTTTTTATTTTAACTCAATAATATCTTCTAACTCCTAGTGATCTGAAATAGCCACCGAAATGCTGCTATCTCCGTAACTTCCGTTACGATCACGCTAAAGCAAACATACGGATTCTTACTCGTATGTTTCTTTAGTACAGTACGTCGATCCAGGGTCACACTAGGCCAAAGGGGCCCGGGTGGCAATGTAAGGAGGGGCCCGTGTGGATTTTTTGCGTATTTTTTCGCCTTAGGTTTTGGTCAATTTTCCCTATTACATACAGGGTGAGTCTTAAATAAGTGCAAATATTTTTAGGGGTAGTATATTTCGACCCAAGAAACACGATTATGAGTACGTTCCACTAAGCACTCATAACGTTCACGCTCAAGATCGCGATTTTTCCGGTTCCACTTGCTTGCGAGCGTTACAATCATAAACTCAAGTGGAATGGGTTTATGGGGCGTTTTAAGCGTCAATTCTGTCAATGTATGTAAATAAATAGTAAATAATAGTCAAAATCACAGAAGAGAATTCAAAAAATCTGTCTAAAAAAAAGAAATCAAAATGTCTTTGGCGACAGTTGGATATTTGGTGCATCGGAATATGTCTGAAACTTCTTCATCTAGTTCAGACGAATTAATAGTGGAATGCATTTTACAAAATCGCGACGTAAAAAGCGAACACTTAGGCCACGTATTATTGGCTATGAGAATCTATGAAAATTTTTATCCTAAGTCGATAATCTTTTGTCTAAATTTTAAAAATTGCGCCAAAATTCCTTAACGTCCACTTCGATCCTAATATTCAGATGGGTCGTTGTGAGCTCGGTGTGAGCGAAAATAATGACGTCATTAGTGACGTTTACGCCGCGACCACAACGTCCGCGATCGTCATGTGGAACGACCGAAGGCATATTTTGAGCATTATGAGCGCTTAGTGGAACGCACTCTTTGAGGTTTTTTGCGCGATTTTTTTTTTTAAAATTTAGAATTTTTAAAAAATAAAAAATGTTGGATTTTTGTTTAATTTTTAGTTTAAAAACATACTTTGTAATATGGTAACATAAGTAGTAGATTAAATTTACAAGAAAGAAAATTATAGCAAAAAATTGGAAATTTTAAAATTTGAAATAACTCGGTTGTTTTGGATTTATTTGAAAAAACGGTAAAGAGAAAATATTATGTTTCTTTTATCGAGATTTACCAGCCCTGAACATATTTGCACTTATTTAAGACTCACCCTGTATAGAAATCAGGGAACTACCCTAATGCAAGGCTAACCAATGCAATGCAAATTCCATAATGCAATGCAATGCAAAAGCAAATATTGTTAAAAATAAATAATGAACTACAAAGGGGGCCCGCGAAGGCTGGGCCCTCCTATAGTTATCTATAATAAGGCCAGTCCGACCCTGCATCGATCCGTTCTGTAAATACGGAGTATCCGTAAACCGAATTCTCTATACGAAATTCTCTAAATACGAGCAATTCATCGGCGTGCTATAAATAGTTTCAATAACCATTACTTACTTGTACAAGAATTTCCTTAATACTTAATCAGTTTTATTTTTTTCAACGTTTTTTCACGTAAATGACACACAACACATAATTTTTATAAATATATGTATAAAAATTAGGATAGCATGGAAGGATCTACCATATCTTCTAAGAATTATAAGTTTAATTTTTAAATTATTTTCCTATTCATTAAGTCCAAAATTCTGCTACTTCAGTTCTTTAAAAATGCCAAAAATTTTAAAATTTTCATTAAAAATTTAATCGTTTTTGGACTTGTGTGTTTTGCTTCTAGACCGACGATATTATAATGTGGTTAATGGTTATGAGTATCGTATTTTATAAATTTAATTGATTATTTCTAAATCTGTTTGGGTAATATTCATTTCCATTTTCAAAATTTCAAACAATAAAGGTTGCTATCTCCGGAAGTATATTTTTATTTCTTATTTCTGCAAGACGAATATCTGCTATCTCCCTATTGTGTCTGAAAAAAATGCCGTAACACGAAATATTGAGTCAGTGCCTTCTATTAAAAGAACAGCCTAGGGGCGGACTTTTGTTTACTTCATCAGCTGTACATACTTAGATATTGGGTTAGATTCCGTTTCATATTTTGTCAGTTGATTTTTGGTTTTAACTTTTTGATTTTTGGTATTATTTATTACTGTAGTGCAAAAAACTAATTATTTTGGTGTTTAAGTGACATAAACTACTACCAGATATATGGTTACTCTCGGTTTCGCATAAAAAAATAGAAAAATTGAAAAATTACGGTAATTATGGTAATATTTGAGGGGTAGTTATGAACGGACGTATAACAGGCAGTTATAGCAGCCAAGGGAAGCAATGCAATGTATTAGGATATTTTTTACAATTTTTTTTTCTGTTTGTATACTTAATTATTACAGATGCTTTCTTTAATATCGTCAGTTCTGTTATCGTTATTGGTTATTAAAACCAGGACTGTATCGTTAGTCTTTAACGTTTTTTTTTTATTTAGTGTTTTTTATTTTTTTTATTTAGTTTTTTTATCCAATGCAGCGTAATATGACATTATGACAATAGTCACCAAAACGTGCCAAAACTATCTCATCATATTAAAAAATGACATCGAAAAGTAATGACAATTGAAAAAATTGCAAATTGATCGTGATCAGTTCATTTTGCTCTTAAAAATTAACCAAAGGATGTATTGACATGAATCAAAAACCAAAATGCTCAGGAGTCATGGTTCTGACCGTAAAATTATCTTTTAGGAAAATTTACACACGAAATTATTACACAGGGTGTTTTAAAGTTAAGGTAAAAAAACAACCCCTCAAATAACCCTGTATAATATGCAAAATACTAAAGTTTATAAAAAAACTTAGTTTGCAAATTAAAGTTGATATAAAATTATTATACACAGTTTGCTAAAAAATCATAAAAATAGCTGAGCAAACGTTTCTCTCTTCCATTTCCTTTTGTTGCTCAACACAATGGTGGAATTTTCTTTTTGAGGGTGTTTCCAAGCTCCTTGTTGTGATGCTTGAAGATCTAAAATACCTTGTTTCCGTGTTTCACCTCTTTGAGATGTTGGTATATTATTGTATATTGATGGAATTCTTTAATAAAGCATAATTTTTTAATTTCCTTTTTTAATAAAGTACCTACCTGTTATTGAAAAGTAAATGCTTTTTTGTGAAATAGTTTCGAAATTGACAGTTTTTGATATTTATTTGAGATTCGAAATGACATTTTTATCTAAAAGACACTTGAGACTTGTTTAGGCACTAGTACCTAAAAGTAAAAGATGAAACGTTTCCAGTTTTGTAAATACTTTTGATTTCTTTGCCTGATATCCGGAAGCATTTCTTTTTAAAAATGCAATAAGGTTTGTGAATTTGCTAATATCTACGTTTCTGTTCAGGTAAAATCATGGTGCGGAGCATTGGATATTTACTCCACAGAGTTGACGGCTTTAAGGTAGTGGATATCTTTAGGAAACAGGGTAGCAATATCTTTTCTGTGAAATTCTCAACATGTTTTCCTTTGACCCAGGTTTCAAAGTTGTTGTAGGTGATCTCGTATAAGTTTTTCGACTTCTCGGGCACTAACGTGGATAGCGCAGTTTCAGCAGCTTGTTGAATATCCAAAGACTCGTCATTATCACTCATTTTTTCACAAAACTTTGTAGGAAATACGACGACGTATGTACCTGACAGAACTTTGTCATTAAACAATGCATAAACAATGCCTTAGGGCGCAAACATAGTGAGGCATCTCGATGCGATGCTCGCCAAGATGCTGGCCGCGCTGCTCGCCAGGATGGTAGCCGCGATGCATCCTACGCGCACTGTTTTAAAACGGTGAATAGGTGCACGTAGGCATACTGAAACATTTACCATCGCCGTTTTATTAAGCACCAGTTTATGTAATAGTAGTTATTAATTAGTATAGGCTTGGTGCATTTCAGTTGATTTCAACAAATTCCTACCGCAGCGAGTCAATGGCAAAAATCAGAAATTATCCCTATCTATTTCACGTCGCCGTCATGTTGATCGCATAAAAAAATATTGAAATCGTGGTTTTGTGATAATATATAAGTATTTTAGTTTTTTGCTAGTGCAGTTATTGAGACAAAAAGAGATAAAACACTCAGGTACCAGGTTTGTGTGATGTAACGCTGTTTCGGGTAGTAAAAAATAAATGAAAAAGAATTCGAACTAGGCGTCGGCGCCGTGCTGTGTTGTGACAATGTCAAATGTTAATAAAATTGCCGAAAAAATGTTAACGCATAAAGGAGAGCGCAATTAGGGCGTTGTTGGGTGCATTTACATTCAATAACTCAACTTTCCCGGATATTCAACTCTCCTGAAACAAAATTTTATAGCTTCATAGTTTCTCACACCGATTTGATCAAAAGCAAAAATGGTTTCAAGCAGTTCGAGGAAACAAGTGAGTAAACAAAGTGCTCGTTACATAATCAAAAAATTAAAGAGACATATACTATGAGAGGATAAAATATAATTTGCAATATTAATGGTATACTTTTTTTAATCAACTAGTGATTAAAGTACTTGCTATAAATAAATAAAGTCCATAAACTAATTTCGATTTTGAAAATAGCTACTGTCACTAGAAACTTGCCATGACGACATCAGCCCTCTTTGTTGCCATTTTATTGAAAAATTGCTCTTTATTCAAAATCTGAGCTAGATGGGTATAGGACATCCTAATATATGTAGTTTGAAAGAGCATTTGAATCTGTTTCGATTTATTTTAAAAAATAGGTTGTCGTATTTGAAATAACAAAGTTTTTATGTAAAATAAATATAAATAATTAAAATAAATCATTAATTTTTGGTACCCCTGTATAAATTTAAGGCAGCAATACAATTTTTCAGTAAAGTTTATTTCTCTATCTTTAAACTCAGCACAAGAATTAATTCTAAAAAGGAATGTACAGGGTGTTGATAATCTATTCCATGGTAGCATGCATATTTAAATATCTTTAAATATCTCAAAAACCAAAGCTTGTAAACATATTAATATATAATAACCCTTATAATACATGCCTTATTTTGTGTCCGAGGATCCAAATAAGAAATAAAATATCGGGTGTTCCATAAGAAAAAATATAATTTTGGTGTAAATCTTAGTTCTGGCATACCCTGTACATTTCAAAATAATTTTAAATTATGCACATGGTCTTCCCACATATGCCCATAAAATATTTTGTTTCTACATATTTCCGTTTTCGTATAATCAACCGACGCGAATGAGTTGCGCCACCCCGTATATAGGTATTCCATTTAAAAAAATATTTGCGATCCACTCACACTTTTTTGAGCCACCCTTTAGAAGTTCAAATATTTTCCTCAAATAAATCCTAATACATACTTTATGTCTGGACTACAAAATTCAAAATTCACAAGTTTTTTATTAATAGAACTACAGATGCCCGACGCACTATTGCCGGACCCGTAGAATCAAGGTTATTACATTGTTGGTGATAAATTAAAAATTAGTATTGTGAATATTTTATTCCACCCGACTTTAGTTCGACATATGCTCAACGAATTGTGATCCTAATCAAATGTAAAGTTTTTTTTTAACCAATCAAATGTAAAGTTTCAGGCATCCGCGTCCGCTTCTCGCAAAAAACAAAAATTTTGTTTTTTAGGAAGCATCGCGCTGAACATCTAGGTGCATGGCGAGGTGCGAGGCTCCAATATGTGTTGACGCATAGATTTGTACATGTTTGATTCAGCATCGCCGGATGGCGAAGTGAATGGCGCGCATCGCATCGAGATGAAATGACCCGCACTATGTTTGTACGATAGTTGTGATGCATCCTACGCGCAATTACTCACCGTTTTAAAACAGTGCGTGTAGGATGCATCGCGGCTAGCATCCTAGCGAGCAGCGCGGCCAGCATCTTGGCGAGCATCGCATCGAGATGCCTCACTATGTTTGCGCCCTTAGAAACCGATTAACACCAGAACATTTTAAAAAATGTTTAAAAATAAATAATAATAATAGCATGAAAATCTCAAATTATCCGCTTTCGTAAAAAAATCTTGTATAAAATTCGTTGCGAAAAGAGTGTTTTATGCACTCGACGCATTTTCCAACAATTTTGCGTACCGTACTTAAAACACATTCATTTCGCAACTTGTTACATAAATAGCTATTTTTTTAAATATTGATTATCATCTGTTTTTATGTTATTTGTAGTGAAAATTTATTCAAACGAACCGCAGACAAAATGGCTTCGGATGGATATTTAGCAGCCGGATATGAGTACATCATAATTGACGATTGTTGGGCCTCAAAATCCAGGGACTCCGAGAACCGGCTTCAATCTGATCCAGATAGATTTCCAAGTGGTATAAAAGCACTGGCAGACTATGTAAGTTAGTTGAATTTGATGAAACGTTAGAAACAATGAAAAAAAAAAGACTCCAACGATTAAGACAACTTTATTAAGACAGCTAACAGGACAAAGAATTCCTGTTAGCTGTCTTAATAAAGTTGTCTCATCGGCTTCTTTCATAAAGCGTTCTATTTCCAATTTAGTAAATACTTTTGATTTCTTTGCCTGATATCCGGAAGCTTTTCTTTTTAAAAATGCAATAAGGTTTGTGAATTAGCTAATATCTACGTTTCTATTCAGGTAAAATCATGGCGCGGAGCATCGAATATTTTACTCCGCAGAGTTGACGGATTTAAGGTAGTGGATAACTTCAGGAAACTAGCAATACCTTTTCTGTGAAATTCCCAACGCGTTTTCCTTTGACCCAGGTTTAAAAGTTGTTGTAGGTGGTATCGTATAAGTTTTTCGACTTCTCGGGCACTAACGTGGATAGCGCAGTTTCAGCAGCTTGTTGAATATCCAAAGACTCGTCATTATCACTCACTTTTTCACAAAACTTTGTAGGAAATACGACGACGTATGAACCTGACAGAACTTTGGTGCGATTCGAACCTCCTGAGTCTCAACATTTCTAAAACTAAAGCTTTGTCGAATAAAAACTCGCTGCAGCCTTTTGTACTTAACAACACCACCATTGACGTCGTAAAATCTGTAAATTTCTTGGGGCTTCTGGTAGACAATTCTCTGAAATGGGACATGCATATCGATACTTTGTCGAAAAAATTTAGCTCTGCCTGTTTTGCGTTAAGATCTGTTTCTAAGGAGCTTAACTTGTCAGTGGCTAGAACTGTTTATTATGCACATTCTGAGGTACGTGTTGTGCGACTCAATTTGACCACATTTTCAAGCTCCAGAAGAGAAGCTCCAGACTAAAAAGCAGAACTCATTGCCAGGACTTTTTTAAAAAATTAAAAATATTAACTCTTCCTTCCTTATTTATATTTGAATCCGTTTGCCTAATACGTAAGCATGTATCAGCTTCTCAAGAAAGGCCATCTTACACTTATCTTAATTTAAGATTAAAGATCTTTATCTACCTACCCCACGCTCAGAGTTAGTTAAAAGTTCAATATTATACAACTCGAAAAAAATGCACAATCACCTGCCATTTGAAATCAAATCCATAACATCATTTACTTCATTTCGAAAAGCATTGAACTCTTATTTACTAGACAAGGCTTTCTACGCCGTGAATGAATTATATTTTGATAATCGAATTTGATCTTGTAAACACTGGTCTAATGTTTGCTATTGCTGTATTTACCAATGACACCGAAATAAATTTATTTAGAGGTCATTGATATTTTTACTATAAACTAACCGAGGGGTAAACCGCAGAGGGAAAAGTGTACACCGTAATTCCTTTTACTCAAATAATTCCTCAGAATTCCTCGTAATTCCTTCGGAATTCCTTGGAATTCCTGGTCTTCAAGGTCAAAGTCAATCATTCAAGGTCTTCCTTGGAATTTCTTGGTACGAACTCGGTAACTCTTTCAGTCTGAACCAGCGTTGCCACCTCGGTTTCGCAGTTCCGCTATGAATTTTCTGGTGATTTTTATAAATGTCTAATGTCTCTATAAGTACTAGATCTAACAATAAAAAGCACTATTACGAGATTTACGTTTTTTTAGTTAAATTTTAGGATTAATAGGGGATCATGAGGTAAAAATACTGGAAATATGTCGGCACTTACTTATTAAAATTAATTTTTCTCGGAATTTTTTGAAAATGATAGGTACCTAGTTATACTCGTATCTATAGGAAAGGAAATTAATAAAACTTCAGTTGCACGTCATAATACGATCACCAGTAAATTCCATAAGATTACGCATGGTATCACTGATGAAGTGCACCTAAAGTTGTATTAATTTCCCTATAGTATATACCTAGGTATTATTCCGAGGAAATGAAAAAATCAACTTTACACTTTCTGAGTACCGAATAAAAAAATCTTATGAGGGTTTCTTTAAAATGGCGAAATCAGGGAACGTTATAAGTAGATCTCTCGGGGGTGGTTCGGCCGTACTATTGGAAAATATTTTAGATATATAATCGAGGGTACAATATTAAATTAAAAGAATATCTAACCTGTAGATATTTGATATTGGGAAATTTTGGAAGCGAAAATGAAAAACCGATAGTAAAAAATCGCCTGCAAAACGTTTTTCTTTAAATTTAGTACTACCTATTATAGTATTCATGGTTTACTAATGTTCGTTAATTTTTTATAAACCTTGTAATTCCTCTTAATTCCTGTGGAATTCCTCTAAATTTCTGAGGAATTCCTTAAAATTCATTGGAATTTTTACGGAAATAATTGGAATTCCTAGTAATTCCTATGGAATTCCTTGGAATTCCTGTAGAATTCCTTCATAGTGTACACCATAATTCCTCTGCGGTTTACCCCTCGAAACTAACTAAATATTTTTGAATATTATTTTTATTTTTTCTATTCTTTGACATTGTAAACATTTATATAAATGTTTATTTTAAACAATACGACTGACAATATTATTTGTATATTGTTTTGTATTATCTTTTGTTTGTTTGTTTGTGTACCTTGTTTGTTTACTTTGTTTGTTTTTTTTACCTTTGTCTACAAATTGTAAAATTTTTTGACAATAAAGGCATTTATTTATTTATTTATTTAAAATAAAATGTATTTTATGGATCTTGATGTTTGGATAGTTATTAATCTTTGTAAAGTTTTTTTTTATTATTCAAACTGAGTCTTAAATTTCTTGTGTGTTTCGAACGTAATAGTTGAAATAGCTAAAGATTACTAGACTATTAACTAAACTTAGTTAGTTAACATGGTGTCTGCTAACCTTCTGTTAAATCTAAGTTCCGATTAGCTAACCGTCGAATAAATATTACAACAGTATTTCTTTTAAAGACTGAATTAAATACTGTAGTTTTTTGAGTTTGTGCTCCAATTTTAGGTTCACTCCCTTGGTCTGAAACTTGGTATCTATGGTGATTATGGGACGTATACTTGTGGTGGTTATCCAGGAAGCATAGACTACCTCGAACTGGATGCTGATACGTTTGCTCAGTGGGGAATAGACTATCTCAAACTTGATGGTTGCTATGCAGAAACTGATGGCATGGAGGAAGGTACTATACAGGGTGGCGCACCTCATTCGCCTCGGTTGATTATACGAAAACGGAAAGATGTAGAGACAAAATATTTTATGGGTATATGTGGGGCGGCAATGTGCACAATTTAAAATTATTTTGAAATGTACAGGGTGTTTCAGAACTAAGTTCCATACCAAAGTTATATTTTTTCTTATGGTATTTTATTTCATTTTTGGATTCTTGGGCCAAAAAGGGTATTTATTATAAGGGCTAAATATGTTCAAAATCTTTGGTTATTGAGATATTTAAAGCTATGTAAAAATGCATGCTACGATAGAATAGATTATTAACATTCAGTACATTGATTTTTAGAACTAGTTCTTGTGCTGACTTTTAAGCCAGAGAAATAAACTTTACTGTATACAGAGGTATCAAAAATTGCTATTCTATTTTAAATATTTATTTTACATAAAAACTTCATTATTTCAAATACAACACCCTGTATTTTTCGCCCTTTTTAAATGCCCTTTCAAACTAAATTAAGGTTTCCTATACCTATACCTCTGTTTTTTTTTCTCAGGTAAGATTTCGACAGACGATGACAGAAAAAAAGCAGATGACGTCCCATACCAAAAAAATTTTACTAAAAAAAGTTTCTAATAATTTTTAAGTTAACTATGGATGGGTTTAAATATAAATCCGTCATACGTCGTGTCTTGTTGTTTTTAACCAGTTTTATTGGTTTATTTAAAAAATGACAGATCGTATTTCAATTTTATTGGTTTCACGGAACGATGAACGACAAACGGACGCCGATGCGTATGAACTCGCCTTTAGATTTTTGTCATTTTTGACGCTTGTCAAAGTCTTGCCAAATTATAGGTTATAATTTTGTGTCAACTTTTGTCAAATGCCCTGCGTTTTGGAAGATGATGCATTTTGATTCGTATTATTACGTGTGTATTGTGTCTTTTGAAGTCAAGTGGAGGAAAAATCGAGTGAAAATTAACTGTAGACCCAGAGCACAGTTTATGGTTAATACTCGCTGCCCAGGCAGAAAGTCTTATACACCAATGAAGTTACCATCGATAAACTTTGTATACCATCTCGTCGCAGATAAGTGCATCTCGTATATGGTAGAAGATTCATACTAAAAACTGGAGTAGCTGTAAAATATCGACATCAAACGATAGGTAAATAATGAATTTTAGTACTGCAGAAAAATAATGTCAAAAGGTACTGGTTTAAAAATTAAGATTAAAGTTACTTAATCAACCTTTAAGGTATAAAATTTGGTAAGTGTTATTATTAATAAAATAGTTTATTTTATTTATGTTGTTTTATTTATTTATTATTATTATTCCTGTCGAATATTACAAATTTGTATATGTACATAAGTTATATTGATAAATATAATCATAAATGCGGGAAGTATCATAAAGCTTGAAAGCAAGAAATAGTTCTTTTTATATTTTTTTGGTATGTGGTGACTTGTTCTTGTTTGTTTTGTATTATCACATACCATTTTTTGTTAAATAAAATAACTCGATTACATTTTTTCAGTTTTATACAGTTTTTTCACAATATTTTGAAGTAATTACCAGAGAGAAACTAATAACTAAAGTGAGAGGGCTTGTGGAATAGGGCATTTCGTAGACAAGTTTATTTTGTCACCGCGCATCCCAGACGCGCATAGCGTTTAGGCGGTCAAAAAAGGAAGTTTTCAACTTTGCAAGTTAAACATTTGACAGGATTAATTAGATTGTCAGTAGCTTTTTCTATTTCTTAGTTCTAGAAGGAGATAACTAAAATCTGTTGATAATCGGAGCAAATCGGAGTAATAAATTATAAATTTTTTATTCAAAATCTGAAATCACAGTTTAATTTAAATTCTGAGCTAGATAGGTATAGGAAACCCTAATATAGTTTGAAAGAGCATTTGAATCTGCTTCGATTTATTTAAAAAAATATAGGGTGTTGTGTTTGAAATAACAAAGTTTTTATGTAAAATAAATATTTAAAATAGACAATTTTTGATACCCCTGTATACATTTAAGGAAGCAATCACGTTTTTTAGTAAAGTTTATTTCTCTAGGTTAAAAGTCAGCACACGAATTAGTTCGGAAAAGCAATGTAGAGGGTGTTAATAATTTATTCCCTTGTAAGGATGCATTTTTAAATATCTTTAAATATCTCAAAAACCAAAGATTTTAAACGTATTTAATCCTTATAATAAATACCTTTTTTTGGACCCAAGAATCCAAAAATGAAGTAATATACAGGGTGTTCCTTAAGAAAAAATATAACTTTGGTATGGATCTTAGTTCTGAAACACCCTGTACATTTCAAAATAATTTTAAATTGTGCACATTGCCTCCCCACATATACCCATAAAATATTTTGTTTCTGCATCTTTCCGTTTTCGTATAATCAACCGAGGGGAATGAGGTGCGCCACTCTGTATAAACAAATACTGTTCATATTATCGTAAAGGGTTCATATAATTGTTGAGTATCTGTACTTTTTGAAAACTTGTTACAATTTGTTTAAAAATAATCTATAATATCAATATTCCATGTGTATATTGATAAGAAAATGCATTTTCTACGAAAACTTGGAGAGATATTAGGTAAAAATTGGTATAGTATAATTTGATAGACAATTAAATTGTGCGTTTGATCCTTGTAAAATATACAGGATGTTCCATTTAAATTAAAGTAGTTATTGCCGTTTAAAGCTACTAAGTTTAAAATACATTTTTAGACGACCCCACAGACAAAGATTTTCCCAGATATTTTAATTTTTATGATTTTGCGTCAGTAAATCTTTATTATTTGAAAAAATCTAGGTGGCTGTGTGATATACCTTTTGTTAATTTAACAAAAATTAAAGACTGTAGAGTAAAATACTCAGGGGTAATAAAAAGATACACGTTTGAAACGTATTTTAATTATTATAGAATTAAAACTGGATATAAACCTATAATAATGCGACAAAAATTAGCTAGACGAAATCAAATGCTCAAAATGCTTCCTTTCTTGTTAACTGCATAAAATGATTGTCTTTTCAAAAAGATCTTTTCATTTTAAAAGGCATATGTGGAGTTTTACCTCGAAAAGCAGCTACAATGATTTGTTTCATGTTGTCGACACTAGTTGGTCGAGTTTTTTTAAACACTGTCTAAGTGTCTAACATAATAGTACAGGGTAGTGGTATTTTTATCGTTAAAACTGGGAGGGCACTTAATGATCAAAACTTATTTAAGCTGGAACATATAGGTAGTTCTTGCCGCTAATATTTCTTTAAATATAAGGTTTAATTTAAATATACGTTTTTTATTAAACATTTTGTATGGAGAATTATCTCTTTATCATAGGTTATGCCAAGATGTCTCAGTACCTTAACAACACTGGACGACCTATAGTTTTTTCTTGTAGTTTTCCGGCTTACAAGGATCTAGAGGTAATTGAAGCATTATATTATGTAAATTTCTGACATAATGTCTGCCCAATGAGTCAAGAAAGATCTAGATAGATTACATCCAAAAATAACAGAAAATATAATGTTACTTATAAGTTAAAATGACAGACACAACTGTCACAGTCACGTATCCTCTCGTTGGACAGACTATACAATAAAAAATTACTTCAAATATATTGCCACACTAAATCACCACAATACACCAAAACACTTTTACTTTTACACTGGACGCGCGTTTCGCTAACAATGTTAGCATCATCAGCAGATGATTATGAACTAAAATACAATCTACAGTTGGAGCATTTATATACTCGCTCAGTGGGCACAGAGTGGGCGTGGCAATATCTAGCCAACCGAGTCAGAACCCACCGAGCGTAACAGTTTGGTTCCGCCACTAGAGTAGTAGGAACAAAGAACTTGAAGGAATTGGACCGTTGTCTCGGTTCATACTATCTTTACATTTATTAATTCTGATGCTTTCATATGCATCTAATTGCCTGTAATTTGAGACTTGTTTAATTAATTTCAAGTTATTAAGATCTATACAATGTTCTTTATCAACAATATGTTCGGCAACGCAAGATTTATCCGGTCTACCATATCTTATCTGAGCTAAATGTTCTTTAAATCTAGTTAGTATTGATTTTCTAGTTTGCCCAACATTTTTCTGATTACAATCTTTACAAGAAATTTCATAAATACCCGACCTTTCCAGAAGAGGTGTTTTATCCTTTGGATTACCTAATAATTGTTGTAATTTATTATTAGCACTATACACAAGTTTATAATTGACCTTCTTAAAAATTCCTTTCAGACCACGGGATAACTGTCTATCAAATGGTATTGAAAAATATTTTGACGTATCTTTCTCCACTTGAAAAGTCGAATTTTCAGAAACCATTAACCTATACTACGTTTTCTAATTATTTTATCAACTAGTGAAGGAGAACATCCATTACACTCAGCTACATTCCTAATGTAATCTCTTTCTATTTCATATCTTTCGTTGGAAAGTGGAAAACTAAGTAATCTATGAACTAAGAAATTTAAACTAGCCATTTTATGTTCAATACTATGATATGATTCATTAGGAATATATCTGCGTGTAGTAGTTTCTAACTGTTACGCTCGGTGGGTTCTGACTCGGTTGGCTAGATATTGCCACGCCCACTCTGTGCCCACTGAGCGAGTATATAAACTCTCCAACTGTAGATTGTATTTTAGTTTATAATCATCTACTGATGATGCTAACATTGTTAGCGGAACGCGCGTCCAGTGTAAAAGTAAAAGTGTTTTGGTGTATTGTGGTGATTTAGTGTTTATTTTGCTGTGTAACACCAAAGGTTCCAACCCTCAACTGTAATAATAGAAAGTACATAATACCCTAAATACTTTGAATATACGTAGATAGAGGCAATGATTCAGTATTGAAACTCAAAAAAATTTCGGACTTTTATTACTGTCTTTATTTATTTTGACTTGCAGAACTTTTGGGTCAGAATAAATAAAAGACGATAGAAGTCCGAAATTCTTTTAGTCTCAACCCTAAATACATATTCCCTAAGGAAATTTTCCTTATCACTAAAATGTAATTGTGCGTGTACAATAAACCTAATAAAACATTTGATGTTGTGGAATAGGCCAATTATTCGATGGCTGTGGAATACTGCAACCTATGGAGGAACTATGGCGACATTGACGATTCTTGGGAAGATGTCAGAGATATAGCTACGTGGTTCAGTACAAATCAAGACTTTTTAAGAAAATATGCCGGCCCAGGGCATTGGAATGATCCAGATATGGTAAACTATTATTTGTTATTTTTTCTTATTCTTTTTTTTGCTTAGATATTTGTTTATTGCTTGGCAGTGACAGCTTGATGGGCTCTATGTTTTTGATCCAACAAAGCCTGTATATGCCGTTGATTTTCGTTAAACCAATCTGGTTGTTTCTTTTTGTTGGATTTTCCCAGTACTGCTTCGCTGGTTTTATGAATGGCATGCCTTAATTGTGTCCAGCCGTGTTCAGCTCCCAAGATCGATATTGAAGTTATCAGTGGAAGTTGCCCTTCGATAGCTTCCCGGAGAGCGTCGGCGCGGCGGTATCGTTGTTCTCTAGATCCCGTATATTCAATCTGGTCATGTTGTTTTGCTTTTTACAGTGCGGATGTTTGCGTTTTAACTGTATTTTCATTTTTGAAATTAAAAGACGGTGGTGAGTGCCATACTCGGCATCTATCCTGGCTGTTGTGAGTCTGACATCCTTTAGATGCGTCCTTCGAACGATTATGTGGTCCAATTGATGCCAGTGGCCTGATCTGGGATGTTTCCAGGTACCTTTAAACTTGTTTTTCAACATGAACCACGTATTGGTGATGCAAAGATTATACTCTGTGCATGTTGTTAATAAGCGCTCGCCATTGCTATTTACATTTCCCATTCCATGTTTTCCCAATACGTCAGGACATATTTCCTGTTGTTTGCCGACACGGGCATTAAAGTCACCTAGCAAGATGATTCTTTCATGCTTTGGAATTCGTTGGAGAGCTTGGTAAAATTTATCCTTATCCTCAATTTTAGCGTCTAGGGTGGGAGCGTAGGCACTAATGATGTTGACGTAAGTTTTGTCTGATATGGGGTACCCTAGGGTTATAAGACGTTCTCCAACTCCAATAGGCACTTCTGTTGATCTGGTGGCGATTTAATTTTTGACTGCAATGCCTACGCCATGAATTCTCCTGTGCGTTGCCGGGTGACCCTTCCAAAAGAAGGTGTAATGGCCTTCATTGAGACTACCTTCATCCACAAAGCGGGTTTCGCTGAGGGCGGCAACATCTATATTTAGCCGGTGGAGTTCCTGTGAGTCTAGTGCTGTTCTTCTCTCTGGTCGATTTGAATTTGTCTTGTCCATTTGAGTGCGGACATTCCACGCTGCAAACGTGAAACATTGATGATTTGTTTCTCCGATGATACGTTCGACGATACCCTCTCCAGATCCAAACGAGGGGGTATTTTACCTCCGGATGATTTTGACCCACTCGAATGTTCCATCTTTGATGTGTGTTAGCTGCGTGAGAAAGTTTAACGGTTACGCTGCTGCACAGTTTTGGCTGTTTTGACTGTAGCATGGGATGTGCTACGTTCCCGGCCGGCCAGGAGTAGTTTACTACATCTCTTCCCCAGAAAGATGGTAGGTCTGAGGGTTGTATAGCGTTATTATTCTGAGGGTTGTATAGCCTATACTCGGACGTCAGAGCCTCGTTTGTGTAAACAGGGTGCACCACGTGAAGGTGAGGTTGACTTTTGGGTAAGCTAGGCTATATGTATCGCTTCAATACCCCTTACACCCCTATGTATTACTTGGTATTTTCATTTTCAGTTGATAATTGGTAACTTTGGATTGAGTTTGGAACAGAGCAAGAGCCAGATGACGATATGGTCCATTCTAGCAGCACCTCTGATAATGTCAGTGGATTTGGACAACATCAGTTCAGAATTTAGAGATATTCTGCTCAATTCAGATGCCATAAGGATCAACCAAGACCCTTTGGGAGTGCAGGGAAAATTGGTTTCAAATGTAAGTTTTTTATATTTTTATATAAATTAAAAATCTAGCATATTTCGCTTCATCGAGCATTGTGTTACCTGCAGTTTTTTATAATGTCGGTTCTAAGCTCTATGGTTTTAAGTGTTCAGATTTTGCACGCATAGGTCATGACATGGGTCATGACTGGTATTGATCGAATATTTTATTCTTTAGATAAAGTGGCATCCTAGATTTGAATATATGATTCAGGTTCTTCAATGTGCACCACTCCATGCTAACTTGTACATAAAAAAAGTACAAAATTTGTATTTCAATTATAAGGGGTCTGACAATGGAAACTAAAGTTAAAGAATTCTATAATTTTAGGATAATAAGATAATGGTATGGAGCAAACCACTACAAGGAAACTCAAAGTACGAAGGCTTAGCACTTGGAGTTGTTAGTAATAGAACTGACGGGTACTACTATCAGTACGACCTTTCTTTATCTCAATACATAAATGATCAGGATGCTGAATATGTTATAAAGGTAAGAAATAATATATTTTTTCATATAACTTGAAACTAGAATTATCTAAATTAGTATTGTACTATTTACTGCTCACAGAGAAAAAAAATAACTCAGTGTGTCCCTGACTCAGTGTTCTTTTAGTATACCTGAGATTAAATTAAATCAATTTCTCGCATTATTATGAAAAATTAATTTAAATATCGCCAAGAAATTAATCATAATATTCAATTTTTGATTTGTTCTGACGCTAATGATAACAGATGATAAATATTCAAATTTCTCAATCAGAATAGCCAAATATTTCAATAATTGTTGATCGCTCCGTACAAAATCATATGTAGATTGTCATCGATCGATATTTCTAAGGTAACATTTGAAGTCTTTTTTATAACACAGTAATATTTGAGTAAATTCATAAAATAACTTACTTACTTACTGCCATTACTCGCTGACCAGTATTTGACACGCATCAAAAGATGGTTACGCAAGACGTTTTTTTCATGAGCTTTTCTGTGACCTAAAAGCCCGATACGTGATGTTATCTCTCTGCAACTGCAAGTTTCGCTTTTGTGCTCAAGTCATGATTGTAGAAAATCCTGTCTTTTAATTCCCAGAATGCTCTTGAGGCGCTGCTAATTCTGTGCTGAATTTTATAGTCGATGTTGGCCTTTTCCGAAATCAAACTGCCGGCCGAGGTAATTGAATTCCGCTACATATTCCAATAGTTCTTCACTGGTTTTTATAGTATTGTTTTGATTTTCCGAGGGAGTGCACATAATTTTAGTTTTATCGATGTTCAGCTTAAGGCCCAAAGCCTCGTATGTCCAGGTATAATAAAATTATAGGCAGAATGACACAATCTATATCCCATATAACATACAATATCCGCAGGATATCCATAGAATGTCGGAATGTCCCACTACAAGACCATCCTATAAAGATATCTATATGATATCCTCTAGACATTTTGAAATCCTGTAGATGTCTCAGAATAGAATTTCCTGTGGATATCTCTGTCGTATATCTAATGTACATCCAGCTGAGATATCCAAACATGCTCATGATAATAAAATATCCTAACAATATGGTCTAGATATTTAGGAAAAATAAATAATTTACTACTTTTTATATTACATAAAATGCAATAAACCATACAGATAGATATATATTACGTCAAGGCAACTTGGTATCTTCTGGATAATCTGGATATTTAGGAGCTTGGCAACTCCCAGTAATACTGAGAATTTAAAACGCCCGCGCAAAAGATTTCCCACAATCCATCTCGACAGTTGTTTGTTTTTGTATCGTGTATTATTCAGTTCTTTGATTTAGTGAAATTCGAGGTGAATTCGGTCGTCTGTCGATGTTGAATGGGGTTAAATATTACTGAAACTAACAAAACTGGTTGAGTTTGACTTAGTTTTTTCTTGTACTCATAGTTCTAGCCTTTTTCTAGCAGAAGTTCTATCCTAACCTCAACTAATGTCGAAAAACGACGAACGACTCAGGGTCTCACAATGACAAATTTGTCACAAAATTATAGGTGAAAATTTTTTGAAAAGCGCTTGTTCTTTATCCCTGAACCCATTTTCGTGTTTGATCTATTCGAACAGAAATCCTATTTTTGTTCCTGAGTTTCTGGAAGGTGTGGTGTTAGAAATTATACCTGTATCCCCTGTGTGCTAACTTTGATGTAAACTGTTGCTGCTAGACTCCATAAAGGGTAGTATAATCTGGTATAATACCATACGATCGAAAAAAACGGCGTCAGAGGTGGCTTCGAAATGAAGATTGTTGATATTTTGTATGTAAAATTATATGGAAAATGTCAGCGATCGTAATTTTTAAGCCAACTGAACGCCGTCTTTTTTTTTTTGATGGTACAGTATAAATTGAAAGTTCTTAACTCATACAAATAAACTTCTAAATTTTGACGCAAAATTCATTGACATAATATGTAGGTATATTTTAGAGCTGTTAATAAAATATCCAATGAATAACGTCAAAATGTGGCTAAATAAAACTAAATTGCGAACGTTTTTATTATAAACTAAGGATGAAGTAAGTATTGTCAAATAACAGTTCTCATATAATGTCCTAAAAATATTCTATAATGCTCCCAACATCATCCTTGTATTATCCTATAAATATCCCAAATAATCGTAAAAGGTTTGCCTAGGGATGTCTTGAAGATGACTTTTTTTTGTCCCATCTGGATATCCCATAAATATCCTCCTCTGGTTTTTGGATATCCCTAAGATATTTACTATATCCTTGATGGATATCCTCAAGATGCCTATAGGATTGTGTTGTGTTATATGGTTAGAATCTATGGATAAGGGGTTGAAATTTATCAGCTGCAAAATTATAAATAACTAATAATAATAATAATAATATTAAAATACATTATAAAATAAAGATATTCTTTTTCATTTTAGGATGTTTTTAGTAACCAAGATCTGTTTGATGGAAAAGCAGTTTCTGTTGACGTAAATATAACTGTCAGTGTGCCACCAACCGGGGCTGTGCTATTGTTAATTTTACCACAATAAGAATAAACAAATTAAGTATTAATAAGAATCTCAAATCACTGTAGTTTTATTTTCAACCCAGTTATATAAAATTGGTAGTTTATACAGGGTGGCCCGAACTGTATTCCGGAAACTTCGGTAGCATATTCTGCAAATAAAAATAAGTCAAAAACTTAATATAATATATATCCTAAAATACTTAGTTTTGGAGATACAGGGTGTAGAAGTTTCATTTTTATTTCGATTTTTTCCAAATAATTTTCGTCAATATTTGGATGAAAATTGGTGTCTGGAAGTTTTTTGACATGTGAAAGTTGATTTTGATGTGTCAATATAGAAGTGTCTAGCCCTAGCAGTCAACTATTAAGCTTGACCAATCAGGTTGGTTAGCGTGGTTATTTGAAGGGTGTTAATTCATTTGTGTTTGTCAAAAACTCTAACGTGATTGGTAGGGCTTAATAGTTGCCTGCTAGAGCTAGACACAAGTGTCAATATGACTGTGTCCTACTTGGTGTGTCCTACTTGGATTGATCATATTGACATCAAAACTGTAATTGACTGAAAAACTGATGCCAATATGAGTCCTACTTGAAGAATAGGAGTCATATTGACATCAAAAGTTTAAATTCAAGTCATAGTTACAAATAAAAATGTAACACAAACATAAATTTCTACACCCTGTATCAAACTCAATACACCCAATCAAACTCTGCTAAATAAGTAGTGTAGTAAGTTACAATCTATACTATATAAAATCCTTAAGTGACTGACTGATTAATCACGATCCTGCTCAAACCACTCAACGTAAGAAGCTCAATTTTGGCATACAGGTTGATTCTAGGGTGTAGAGGTTCGATAAGAAGGGATTTTTCGAAATTCCAGTTCCAAGAGGGTGAAACCACCCTTCAAATATTACAATATTTTTTATATAAAAAACGGTCAAGTTTCCGAAAAAACGCTTAAACACGTATATTTTATTTTGTTTTTTTACATGTTTTAAGATTTTTTAAAAATGTATACAGGGTGTTTCGAAAAATCTGGTCATTGATTAATCACAATCCTGCTTAAAGCGCTTGACGTTAAAAGCTGATTTTTGGAAAACAGATTGACTTTAGGGTGTAGAGGTTCGATAAGAAGGGATTTTTTGAAACTCGAATTCTAAGGGGGTGAAACTATCCCTCAAATATTAAAATATTTTTTATTTAAAAACCGGTGAGTTTTTCGGAAAAACTCTAACACGTATATTTCATTTTGGTGTTTTACATATTTTAAGATTTTTTATTAATTTATACAGGGTGTTTCATAAAATATGACCATTGAGTAATCACGATTCTGCTTAAACTGCTTGACGTTTAAAGCTGATTTTTGGCAAACGGATTGACTTTAGGGTGTAGAGGTTCGATAAGGAGGGGTTTCTCGAATCTCAAATTCCAAGAGGGTGAAAACGCCCCTCAAATATTACAAAATTTGTTATTTAAAAAACGGTTAGTCTTTCGGGAAAACGCTTGGACAAGCAAAATTTATTTGGTTTTTTTACATATTTTGAAATTTTTTAAAAAATCATACAGGGTGTTCCAAAAAGTTGGGTAATTTCTTAACCACGATTCTGCTTAAACTGCTTGACGTAAAAGCTTATTTTTGGCAAACGGATTTTTCGAAAGTCAAATTCCAACGAGATGAAACTACCCCTCAAATATTACCAAGTTATATAATAATATCGCCATATTGTTATTTCTCATGCTGACATAAATGTGAGAAAATTTTATCCAGTTTGTATGTTAAGGGAAATTCTTGCTTTGCTTTATCATCTCCATTACAAATGATTAATTCGACGCGAACAAAGTCGCTGCTACACGCTAGTATTTTTATAAAATACCTACTGTCAAACTTTTTATCAAATATATTTCATAAAAGATCTTTGAAAGAAATTTGATAGTGTAATATAGTGGCCTAAGGCCGGTATTAGAATTTTTTTGTCAAAGATCGTATATCGTATACAGGGTGAGTTTCCTACGATGTTCTCTATGGGTATATCGAAAACTACTGGAGATAGAGAGTCGGTTAAATGGGGAAAGAGTTGCAGTTTTGTGGGGTCATAAATATGCGCCTTTCAGATTTTTGAAAAAGTTCATGGCTTACTAGATATTTCGAAAAACATAAATTTCGGCTATTTTCAAAATTGTCCCTAATTCTATTATAAGCTATTTTAGACAAAAAGTTTTCAGATAACAGTTCGAGATAATCACATATCCTTAATGAGATTGTGTCATTCATTATGCCCCCCCCATAATGAGAGAAATGTTAAAAATTATTTATATCATAAGAAAACAAACTCAGGAATAGGAAGAGGTGGACTAATTGAATGAGCCTCCTCGATCACCTGACCTATCCATTTTAGATTTTTTTATGCGGTATGGTTAACAATAAGGTTTACAAAAGAACTTAAGAATTAAGAGAGGCACTCGAAGTGGCGGTACGAGAGAAGTTTAATTAAGTCGACCGGTCCTTCTGTGAGAATAGGTAATAATTCAGTTTTAAAAAGACGTAACTCAAAACAATGGCGGATTTTTTGAACATTTTCTAAAATAACTTAAAGTGTATGCAGTGACTGCAGTGATATTATTTTTTTAAGTTTTAGTTTGTGTAATGTAAATTCTAAAGAACCGTTTAGTAATATATTCTGACTTTTTTTAAGTTACAAATCATAACAGAATAAGAATACCATGCAATCTAAGTGAAATTAGTCAAGAAAGATAAGAATTGGCTATAACTAAATTTGACTTTTCTAACAAGTCTTGAAAATCGTTCTCTAAAACACATAACATTCACCGGTCAACGTATCCTCGAAAATGTATGGTCAAGAAAAGTTGAACCAATAATCTTACACGCTTTTCTTCATTTGAAAAATTCATATTTACAATTTTTGTTTACTTTAATTTACAAAGTTTGGATGTGGCAGCTTCACATTTATGGGAGCAAAGACACAAATTAAGTGAAATTATTTAAAAATTTTAAGAATTAGCTATAACTCGATAATTTTTCGAAGAAAACATATTATAGCTTATATCGCTGAAAAGCTTAAAAAATGGCGCTTTTTATAAAGTCATGACCTACTATGGTTTCTAATTAAAAAAAACATATGTTTGTGTCATATGTCAAATATGACAGGCTTTAGAAAAAAACGTGCAGAATGAGGACACAATCTCATTAAGGATGTGATTATTTAAAACTTTTATCTGAAAACTTTTTGTCTAAAATAGCTTATAATGGAATTAGGGACAACTTTTAAAATAGCCGAAATTTGTGTTTTTCGAAATATCTAGAAAGCCATGAACTTTTTCAAAAATCTGAAAGGCGCATATTTATGACCCCACAAAACTGCAATTCTTTCCCCATTTAGCCGACTCTCTATCTCCAGTAGTTTCCGAGATACCCATAGAGAACATCGTAGGAAACTCACCCTGTATAACTGACCATATTTACTTATTAAACATAAACTCGCATTGGATTTACAGAGATTTTATAAATAATTAAAATATATATAAACTCTTGGTCAAAAGTATCAATAACATAATTATAATAACAATGTCGTTTAACGGTAAATTTACACCGCTATAAACAAATGGCCTTTTTTATATTCTTCAAGTTTCGAAAGATATCTCAATAAATTATTCATGTGAAGTGTGTCTTCGAAGCTTGACCACAGCTTGACCAAGCGATTCTGCGGCTAATCGTTCGTTTCTTGAACTCTTATCAAGGCCCGGGGGCATTTGAAAAATAATTTAACGATAATTACACGGTATCAGTAGTTGTCCAGCTGAGTACGATGCAGTTTTGTTGAGATAACGTAGCGTTTAATATTACATATTTAACAGTAAATGTTCTGTTCTAACAATATCTGTTGTTTAAGGTAAGTAAACAAACTGATTTTTTTATTGTCGTGATTCTAAGTATTTTAATATTAAATGAAACTAAAATAGTAAGAGCACCCCTCAAACTTGCATACTTCTTTAATATAAGATGTCTCAATATTCCGCGAACATTGAACTACTAAGTATTTTTGGAATCAAAGTAAATCTCTATACAAAAGTACTTCATTTGTCCGCTAAAGTAACGTCAAACTTTTAAAAAATAAACATATTTTTTAATATACAGGGTGGTCCAAACAGTATTCCGGAAGCTTTGGCAGCATATTTTCCAGATAAAAAATAAATAAAAAAAGTTCGTATATGTATGTTCTAAAATGCTTAGTTTTGGAGAGACAGGGTGTAGAAGTTCCATTTTTATTTAGATTTTTTCCAAATAATTCCTGAAGTAACATCAATATTTGGATGAAAATATTGAAGAGAAGACATTTTGATGTCGATATGAGTTCTATTTGTAGGGAGCGCCACCTACATGTGTTTTAACTGTTTTGAAGAGTAATATCTTTTCGTCTGTACCTGTATAAAGCTACTGCGTGAAAAAAATATACATTTTTTTGTGATTTTTTATGTAAAATGTCTCTTGGTAAAAATCGTTGTGAGCAGCTGTTATCAAGATATTTAGAATAGAAATAGTCAATACATGTCATTATTGACAAAAAAAATGGCGCCGGGAGGCACGTTTATCCGCCCATACTTGATATTTTTTTTTATCTCAAAAACTGCGTCTGATTTTGATATTATTACAAATTTTGTTGCAAATATTATTCCTAATTTTAAATTGAAAACCGCGTTTCGCTGGCTACTGTAATTTTGAAGTTACGATTTTTTAAAATTTTTAACCCCCTCTCATACCCCCTTACCAACCCCCCACCCCCACCAAAAACTAATGGCCAGATTCTCGGGTGCCACAGTATTTTTGTGTCAAATTTGGTTAAAATCGGTTTAGCGGTTTTTGAATTATCGTGTTACAGACGGACAGACAGACAGACAGACATCATGAAAATATTTTGTATTTAGGTCATTTATGACCCAAATAACTCATTTTGAGTGAAATTAAAAAAACTTTTTTTGCCGATCGTAATAGCCTACCATACCTGTTGGTATGGTCGGCTAATAAACATATTGAGTAGATAGCTATTTTTAAAACAGTTTCTGTTGAACTTTTGGCACAAAACATTTCAAATTTCTGATTTCATTCTAACTATATAGTCAACATGTTTAATTTAAGTCAATGATGACAGGTATCGATAATTTCGATTCAAAATATCTCGAGAACCATTACTCGTAGCAATTTTTACCAATAGATTTTGTTACGTAAAAAACGTAGTAAATGTATATTTTTTACTCAGTAGTTTTATACAGGTACGGACAAAAATTTACTACTTTTCAAATCAGTTAAAAATGTAGGTGGCCCCCAAGGACTGTATACAGGTTGTTAATTCGTTTATTACTCGCGGAAAGAGCTGTATGGTTGAAATATGGCAACCTCGGCCCGCTCGTTGATGACGCGACGGGACGAGTCGGCAGAAAACCCTATAAGTGCATGCGTTCTCAATAGGCAGTAATGCCATTCTGTTCCCCTATAAGTAACTGTCCAGTTAACAACCTGTATATTCTAAAGGACTGTTCGATCGCGTCAAATCGCCGCTATCGTAGTCTCTCACCGTGGATGCTTACGTCACGCAGGGACCAGCGCTCCACAGTGTTGTGGATGGTTATTCTAGCGGGACAAAATCTCAGGAGCGATGTTTGGGACTTAAAATCTAAGAACGTAGCAAATGCTTTAATATACATATAGCAACCATATTATGGTTAAATTTATTTATTTATTAACAACTTTATTAATAAATAAATAAATAAATACAAGATAATAAAACTATGATATTATTCGTACATGTCACACAAAAACCGTACTGTAAATAATTATTGCCAAATACATAAAATTATGATATCACGTGAAATACTTACAAAAACTCTTTAGCAGTTATTTTTTAATTACTTTGTAATCTTGTGACACCCTGTATATTTTATTTTAAAAAATTCTATTTTATTTTGAAAATAATAAATAAGATATTTTAATTTTAATACTCGGTAATTGTAAATTCATATATAGTAAGTATCTAAGACAATTTTTTAAACTTTTATTAAAACTAGTAATAATCATTTAGTTTTATTATAAATTATCAGAAAGTAAAAAATAAGGCTTTAGCATATCGTCATGCTTTATTTAACTAGAACATCATTTGGATGTTTTTCTCTTGAGGAAAATTGCCGAACTGACTATTGATGTCATTCATTAGCTGCCCACACACGGAGAGGCCCGGCCTTCGGACTTGGCCTTGGGTCCGGGCCTTTAACCCAAAATACCATAGGTTTGCGTTAAAGGCAAAGTCCGCGGATATATTTCCGCTATGGTAATTTGGGTGAAAGCCCCGGCCTCAAGGCCAAGTCCGAAGGCCGGGCCTTTCCGTGTATGGGCAGCTATTCATTTTTCAAACTCAGTGCCTTTCAATTACAGCAGCATCCTTACTCCTTTCTACCACTAGCCCTAAAGCTCATAGTACTAGCAAAACCAATTCTTCTTTTGAATGCTCTTCTATTAACCCTTTAATGAGTATTTGTTTCGTTTTTATACTATCCGATTGAAATGAAACTTTTGGGTATTCACCTGTTAAGCTTGAACTCCTTGTGACTGACTACCTGTGTTGGTAACTATTAGCACAGAATATCTAGCTACGCAACAGAAGCCTCGTTACATGTATAAAACTGTAGGTAGCAAAAGGAGACAGGCTTTAAAAGTCTGTCTCCAAATCAGATATTTTGATGTGGTAGTTTCGCTACTACATAATACAGGGCAATAAATTTAAAAGAAAACAGTTTTCTACAAACAAAATTTAAAAGAATTTTGTGCAGTGTTGCCATTGTGTAATTCATATCGTAATACTTCCTGATAAAGCCTACCTTCAAATTTGCTACATCATTTAAACATATTAAAATAGATCTTATGAGCTAAACTACAATCACTTCCTGACGTTTGATTGTATAATTGAACCCTGAATTTTCATTGTAATTCGGCGACAATATAATAAGTATTGTTCTACTATTATGATACCACTTCCTGACGTTCGATTGTGTTCATACCAAGTTCATATTGTATAATCGGGAAAAAACGGCGTTAGAGATAGCTATGAAATGAATATCACGGTCATTTTATATGTAAATTTATATGGGAAATGTCAGCGATCGTTCTTTTCCAGCCAACTGGACGCCGTTTTTTTCAGAAGCATATCAAGTGATACCATAATATAGTACTATATTACGATACATGGCGTTCGATTGGGCTTAAACTTGGGATACTACGCATTTTCGGTGACATTGTAATATGATGGTACTATGATGCATATAAAGTGGTATCTTAATATAGTACCATATTACGATACCATTTCCTGGCGTTCGATTGGGCTCATACTTAGTATACTACGTATCTTCGGTTACATTGTAATATGATTGAACTATGATGTATATAAAGTGGTACCTTAATATAGTACCATATTACGATACCATTTCATGGCCGTTCGATTGTTCTTAAATTTGGTATACTACGGATCTTCGGTGACATTGCAATATTATGGTACCTTAAAGTATATCGAGTGGTACCATAATATAGTACACTATTATGATATCATTTCCTGGAGTTGGATTGGGCCCAAATTTGGTATACTTGCGTTTCTTTATAAAGATTTGTTTAATTAATAATTTTAATTTATTTTACGAATTTTAATTTATTGTTCGATGTCGTGACAGCAACTTTTATGCCGAACTAATATATTATTAATTGTACCTGTGTCACTTTTTAAAATCTACCTAGGTCTATATAAATAACGTGGCAAACGGAAGAAATTTGTTGTTATAGTATTTTTAGTCAGTTAACATTTTTTGTACTGCATTTTAATAAATTATTTCCATTATTATTAAACTTATATTTCATTACTAACGTTCCAGCATTAATAAATATCACTATCAATCGCCCTGTATATTATTAATTTTAAAGGTAATTAAAGGTATTTTCTTAGTTAACATTATAAGGTATAGTGTATATTAAAAATGTATATGTTTTGTAATAATATACTTAAAACTATTTTAATAGCCAAAGGAATAATTAATATAAGTGTATTTGACAAGAAAAGAAGAATAGAAAGAAACACATACTGCATTATACACAATAAAAAGAATGGGATGCCAATTCACGTCTTTTTGAATCTGGCAACTGTGCATATTTAGCCGAGCTATAAGGCCGTCGACGAGCCGTCGATCCAAAACCGAAAGTTCAAAATTTCTAATTATATTCTGATTATGATATTGTCGCGCCATCTAGTATTCTATTTGTGCAATTTTAGCTCTTTCATTTCGAGTATTTTTCTGTTGCGTAGCTAGATATTCTGTGCTATTAGTAACTCAAAAGATCTACATCATTCAATATATCAATATTTGAAAAAAGTGAAAGTTTGATATTTGCAGAATTAAGGCACGAAGGATTTTAACAAATAATATACCTACAGTAGAGAAGTACATACCTTTGACAATCTTCAATATAATTTGGCTTTGGAATAAAATGTATAAGCACTTTTAAATATTTTGTTTTCGTATGACCTCTGCCTTGCTGAGCAGAAAACTATCAAATTTGGTTGATAAAAATGTATCGAAATAGAAAGAATATATACACCAAAAAATAATTCATGCATTTTTATAACAATTGGAATGTCTACTATTTATTCTTATCAGTAAATTTTTTGCTTATTTCTAACCAAATGATTTTGTCCCGCTAGATTTATCTTCCGCCGCACTGTGCGCTCCTCCGTCAAACGCAAAAATAACTGTCACTGTCTAAAATCTTTAGCGCGAACTTCAACTCGGTCTCTAGATAACGTAAAAAAACTGACAGTACAGGAAGATAGGAATCGAACTATCCTTATCTCTATAGTATCCTTGGGTGGCCCCCTCTACAAGTAGGAGTCATATTGGCATCAAAATCAATTATTTTACGTCAAAAAACTCCTGGATACCAATTTTCATCCAAATATTGACGTTAGTTCAGAAATTATTTGGAAAAAATCGAAATCAAAATGAAAATTATACACCCTCTATCTCCGAAACTTTTTTTAATAATTTTTAACTGCAGAGTGGTTCGGACCACTCTGTATTTTAAGAACGGTTATTCCGGTTTGTATAAGATTTGGGTTTTTTTGAAAATACACATAAAATTGAACTAAATCTACATAGTTATTTAAACAGTGTAAAACACTGGTTATTGAGAACTTAGAGAAAAAAATGTGATATAATATTTACAATAATTTAAATTTACAATATACCAATAAATATATTATACAGGGTGTTTCAAAAAACATGTGCCATCTCTCGTGGGAAACTTCACCAACGACTCTTTTTTTTTGTAAAAGAGTCCTTCTAGTACTTACATTTTTCATGAGAATTTTGCATTAAAGGATGTACTACATTCATTTTGATTATTATACAGGGTCCGGCAATAGTGCGTTGGGCATCTATAGCTCCTAGAATAAAAAACTTGAGAATTTTGTTTAAGTGCAAACCTAAAGTATGTATCAGGTTGTATTTCAGGAAAAAATTTCAACATCTATAGAGTGGCTCAAAAAGTGTGAGTGGACCTGCATGATTTTTTTTAAATGGAACACCCTGTATATTATTCCATTTTTGGCTTCCTTTCAGATCACTTTACGTATCCCTAAGATATGAATAAATACATTTCGATAGATTCAGATATATTAAAAAATAATTCAAAAATATATATTTTTCAGCCCTTCTTAAAAAAAATATTAAAAATACAAGAACTGTTCTGAAATCAAAACTATATTAGGTATTTACTTTAGATGGTCAGTACTTACTTTGCTATAAATATGAAAATCGTAAATTATACAGGATGTTCAAAATTCTACGCCAAACTTTCTAAAATATAAAACAATTTTTCTTAGTTTTTTTAAATGGAACACCCTGTATATTATTTTTTCAATAGACGGGGAATTAAAAAATAAACATTTTTTGTATTTAGAGTATTTCAAAATGTTTAACGGCTTCGCAGTTATTTGCGGTTTTATATTTCATATGCCATTTTCCACAGTAAATTTTTATCAAAGCCACCCAATGATTTTTCTCTCGTATTTTATTGAAAGCGCCATATGAAATAATACTGCGTGTATCTGCAAAACTGTTAAAAATTTTAAAATACTCTAAATACAAAAAATGTTCATTTTTTAACTCTCCATCTATTAAAAGAATAATATACAGGGTGTTCCATTTAAGGTAACGAAGAAAAAATATTTTATATTTTAGAAAGTTTGGCGTAGAATATTGAACATCCTATATGATTTACGATTACCATATTTATAGCAAAGTAAGAACAGATCATCTAAAATAAGTACCTAATATAGTTTTGATTTAAGAACAGTTCTTGAATTTTTAATAATTTTTTTTAAGGAGGACTGAAAAATATATATTTTTGATTTATTTTTTAATATCTCTGAAACTATCGAAATATATTTATTCATATCATAGGGTTATGTAAAGTGATCTAAAAGGAAGCCAAAAATGCAATAATATACAGGGTGTTCCATTTAAAAAAAATCATCCAGGTCCACTCACACTTTTTTGAGCCACCCTATAGAAGTTAAAATATTTTCCTGAAATACATCCTGGTTCATACTTTAGGTTTGCACTTAAACAAAATTCTCAAATTTTTTATATTCTAGGAGCTACAGATGCCCGACGCACTATTGCCGGACCCTGTATAGGTACTTTAAAAAATAAAATGAAAACAATGTTATTATTTCAGAATGATTTCTACTACGTACTTCACTGCATCGTTTATATTATTAGCTACCGTTTTACAAACACAAGCACTAAACAATGGTCTGGCTTTAACTCCACCTATGGGCTGGATGCACTGGCAAAGGTTCAGATGTGTCGTGGACTGTACAGCCTATCCAGATGACTGTGTGAGGTAAGCCTTTAAATTAGTTATGCTTATTCTGCTGCGACCTTTTCAGAGCTATTGTGGTTTCCCTTTGATCTCTAGGTTACATATTTCATACGTATCTTCCACCGGTCTAATAACTTGGTGGCTGAACCTTCCATATAGAACTTTGTCAATGTCTTATCATCTACTAGTACAGGGTGTCCCACTAAGAATAGCTCTCGGCTGTATCTCGGAAAATATTAGCCGTAGCGGCTGCGGAAAAAAATATTTATAACTAAAGAGGCTATAGGAAATTGCCGGAAATTATTTTCAAGTTTGTAGAACGACCGCTAGGGGACGCAACTGCAACAAAAAAATAATAAAATGGAGTTTTTACACAATTTTGCCTAGACAAGGTGTACTATAAGTAACAGCTTCATAATCTTCAGTAAATTTTGAATATTTTTTGTTAGAGCCATTTTTCCCTATCTACCAAAATAAAGTGGTGGGTGAAGGTTAGATCTATTTTTATTTGAATATTAATAACTCTGGACTGGATGATCGGAATCCAACAAGCGAGCGCTCGTTTAAAAGAGCGTTTCTTACTCTATATTGTACCATATAAACAATAATAATAAGCTTTTGAACGTAGACACTAGGGGGCGCTGTCTTACAATTTAACAAACATTGCGCGTTTTTTCAAAAAAATTAAGTAAATTATGTAATTTTAGCGGATAGTAAAGAGTAGTAAAAGATTAAAAAGTCAGCGAAAACCGGATCTTGACATCTTCTTTCAAACCGAGGATATTAGCAAAATTACGCAAAATTATAATAAATACCAAAAAATAAGCCCTTAATTACCTTACTTTTACAACACAGTATCAGTAGCCCTCTTGATTATGCCCATTCTTACCTAAAAATAAGATAGAAACAGTTATTTTATTTTAAAATCGACGATATACTAGAATATCATAATATCAGATGTATTAATATCTAATAATTAAGATATTAAGTGAACAAGAAACGATGATTCAGTGAAGTCATGGTAGGCTTTGGAAAAAAGTTGCTTTTGACGTAATAGTATAAACGTCAAATTGTTATTAGATCAACATTTTGATAGTCTTAGCAGCGTTTTTGATCTTTTGATTGCTTTTTCAAAATGCCAACAATTTCAACTACCTATTTCAAATAATAAAGGCATTTTGAAAAAGCATTTAAAAGATTAAAAGACGCTGCTAAGACTATCAAAATGTTGATCTAACAACAATTTGACGTTTATACTATTACGCGAAAAGCAACTTTTTTCCAAAGCCTACCATGACTTCACTGAATCATCGTTTCTTATTTACTATTATTAATATCTTAATTATTAGATATTAATTCATCTGGTATTATGGTATTCTGGTATTTCGTCGATTTTAAAATAAACACTAACTGTTTCTATCTTATTTTTTTGTTAGAATGGGCCTAATCAAGAGTGCCACTGATACTGTATTGTAAAAATAAGGTAATTAAGGGCTTATTTTTTTGGTATTTATTATAATTTTGCTAATATCTTCGGTTTGAAAGAAGATATCAAGATGCGGTTTTCGCTGACTTTTTAAGCTTTTACTACTCTTTACTACCAGCTAAAATAGCACATACTATCGTATTTATTTTTTTTGAAAAAACGCGCAATGTTTGTTAAATTGTAAGAAAGCGCCCTCTAGCGTCTACGTTCAAAATCTTATTATTATTATTCGTTTGCGCACGTATTTTTGTACGGTATAATATGTAAGAAACGGCGGTGATGCAAGTTTCTAACACTCTATTGGTTTGTTAAAGATTGAGGTGTCGTCTTACTATTGCTGTTGTTTGAAGAACGACAGCCTTCTGGAGTTGTATATAGAGTAACGGTGGAAGATCTAACTTTTTTAAACTATGGTGGAGAGCCTTTGGTATTACGCCCGTTGATGAAATTATAATGGGTACGATATTCACTTCGTTTTGCTTCCATAAACTTTTAACTTGTTCAGCTAGTGCGGTATATTTACTTAACTTCTCACTCCATGTAGACTGCAGATTATGGGTGTTAGGAATCCCGACATCTATAAGGTAAGTTAATGCCCTCTCTTTTATGGTGAATGTTAGATCTGGTCGGTTATGCGGAGTTGTTTTGTCAGTAAGTATACTTCTGTTCCAGTAGAGTTTAAAGTGGGCATTTTCTAACACATTTTCAGGTTCATATCTGTAATAAGGTGTAATATCTTCTTTTAAATGACAAAGGGTTGCTAACTTTTGATGAATGATTTTCGCTACTTGGTCGTGTCTTTGGAGGTAGGAGGTTGGCGCTAGCACTCGACATCCAGCTGTCACGTGCTGGATAGTTTCACCAGGTTCATGACATCTTCGGCATTGATCTACTACATTCGGCTCTTTTAGGATGAATTTTCTGTAGTTCCTCGTAGCTATGACCTGGTCCTGGATTGATAACATAAAACCTTCGGTTTCGAGGAACAAATCCGCCTGAGATAACCATTTGTTCGACGCATCTTGATCTACATAAGTTTGGTTAAGCTCATGCGGAAATCTCCCATGCAGTACTTTTCGAGTCCACTCCTCGACTTTCTCTCGTTCGTAGATTACATCCGATGGGAGCCTGATGTCAACGGCATGTTGAAGATCTAAAGGGGTGTGTTTGTTATCTGCTCTCACTACTGCTCGGTGAAGACCTGATGCCTGGTGCAGGAAGTATTGTTGAAGACCATAGATTTGTTTGGCGTGTAGAAACCTTAAATCAATTAGACCTCTCCCACCTTTATTGCGTGGGAGGGTTAATCTCTCAACTGCTGCCTTAGGATGATGCGCCCTAAATTTTGTTAGTGTAGTTCGCGTTTTGATCTGGATATTTTCAAGTTCTGTTTTCGTCCATTTTATAGTCCCAAAAGTATATGAGATTATCGGAATTGCGTAGCTGTTGATAGCCGTAAATGTGTTTTTTCCATTTAATTTAGACTTAAGTATATTCGTCAGTCTACTAATATATATAGAGGTGATTTTCTCTTTAATATCTTTGTGCTGTAAGCGTTTACCTTGAGCTAGTCCAAGATATTTATAGGTCTCATGTTCTTCCAAGGATTCGATGATATCTCCATCACCTAAGTCGAATCCACTAGATATTATTCTACCTTGCTTTATATTAAGTAGCTTACATTTGTCCAACCCAAAGGACATTTGGATATCTTTAGAGAAAGTCTTTGTAATTTCAAGAAGGTGTTGAAGTTGTTTTTCATTCCCTGCAAACAATTTAATGTCGTCCATGTACATCAAGTGACTGATAACATGATGTTGAGTCTTGTCATACTTTATATGGAATCCGTAGCCGGTCTTATTCAGAATCGAAGACAGGGGGTTTAGTGCCAGACAAAACCATAAAGGGCTTAAGCTGTCACCCTGGAAAATACCCCTTTGGACACTAATCGGTTGTGATATGACTATTCCTTGGTTTTGATTAATTTCTAGAACTGTATTCCACGTAGACATTAAATGTTGAAGCATATTTATAATTTTATGGTCAATCTTATATATCTGTAGTACTTTCAGGAGCCAGGAGTGCGGTACCGAATCAAAGGCTTTTTTATAATCGATAAATGCCGTGTAGATATTTCGTCGTTTGTTAGCTGCTTGCTCAAGTATTACTGAGTCTATTATGAGCTGTTCCTTGCATCCTTGAGATTTTTTGACACAACCCTTCTGCTCTTCAGAAAGTAATTTATTATCTTCAACATGTTTGTAGATACTTTTTGCAATACATGCCGTTAAGATCTTGTATAGTGTGCATAAACAGGTAATGGGTCGGTATTTTGTTGGATTATTTAATCGCTCGGATTTGGGGAGTAAGTATGTATTACCTCTGCCAAGAAATTCGGGGATAGTTTCTGGACTTTCAATAAATGTTGTGAAGTACTTAGCAATGTAAGTGTGTGTACTTTTCAGTCGCTTAACCCAAAAATTGTGGATTCCATCCGGGCCCGCTGCTTTCCAGTTTTGTGTAAGTCTAATTACTTCAGCAACCAAATCTGATGTTATTGTGATAGGTTCCATTGTTGGCAGATGAAACAATTCGGCTTCTATATCTCTAATCCAAGTGGAATCTGTGTTGTGGTTAACTGGTTGAGACCATATTGATGACCAGTAGTTTTCGATCTCCTCTTCGGTAGGTAAAGGACCAACAGGCTGATTTGAATTTATTTTCAAATTCCGATAATAAGCTCTTTGGCTGGTGTTGAATTTCATGTTTTGTTTTCTTCTCTGTGTGGATTCACGATATCTCCTTATTCTACCAGCTTTAGCTTTTAATTTTTGTTTCAAAGTATCTAATATTTCATGCAATGTTTCATTGTCCGGATTTCGCTCAGCGTGCTTTTTATGTTTTTCTTTGATTTTTAAAATAGATTTCTCTTGTTTTTTGCTTTTATTTCCTTCTATATACTGATGTATTCTTCCGATATCAGCCCGTATACTTGCTATTCCTATCTCCAATCGCATTTCCCATGGTTCCTTTTGATCTTTATTATGCTTCCTTTCAATGTTCTGAATTCTGCCTCCACTTGCTTTAATTATAGCTGCTGCTGCAGCATATATATGTGTATGTAGGTCAAGGAAGTTTGTTATATGCGGAAGATATTTTGGCAGTATATTATTATTATTATTATTATGGTATACTATAGAGTAAGAAACGTTCTTTTAAACGAGCTCTTGTTTGTTGGATTCTGATCATCCAGTCCGGAGTTATTAACATTTAAATAAAGATAGAACTAACCTTCCCCCACCACTTTATTTTAGCAGATATGGGAAAATGGTTCAAACAAAAAAAATCCAAAATTTACTGAAGATTATGAAGCTATTATTTACAGTACCGCAAAATTCTGTAAAAAATCTATTTTCTTATTTTCCATAGCAGTTGCGCCACCTAGCGGCCGTTTTACAAATTTGAAAATAATTTCCAGCAATTTCTCATAGCCCCTTTAGTTATAAATATTTTTTTCCGCAAGCCCTACGGCTAATACTTTCCGAGATACAGCCGAGAGCTATTCTTAGTGGGACACCCGGTACAAAGAAGCGCACATTTTTCAAGCTGTCATAATGAAATTTTTTTCCTCGCTATTAGAGGCCATTATATACCTCATTCAGAAAAGACGTTCTTTCTCAGAAATAACACAATACTGGAAATACTAGAAGAATATATATATTTTGAACTAATACAGGGTGGGCCTCTCATACGCCGCTCAGGCTCCAAGGAGAACGACAGTTTGTATTGAAATGAAATTTTGTGAGCATATGTAGGTTGATTCAGAGCACTTTTTAACAATATAGAGAGTTCTACAGGGTGTCTCCAAAAAATGTTACATATCAAAGTTGTGTTTTTTGTAATGGAACACCCTATATATTAATTCATTTTCAGATTCTGGGGGAAAAATAAAGGTGAGCTTTATAAGAGAAGTATATGACTAAAATGTAAGGTTTTTGACATATTTAACATTTTATAGAAATAAAGAACAACAATAATATATTTAAATTACAATAAAATATACCTAAATTGAAATTTACCCGGTATAGCCTAATATGTAGTAAAATTAACTATTGTACTTTAAATCAAATTAGAACTTGATCCAAAAAGTTATACAGGGTGAGACAAAATTAATATTGAACACTGGTCACCTTCAAAAGCATTTATTTATTGTTATATGTTACTCTTTTATTTTAAATAGAACACCCAGTGTATTATTCCGATATTCAATGGAGAATTCATGTCTCTTCAAAATACTATTAAGGTTGCCTACCCCTCAAACAAAGATTTTCCTAGATATTTTCATTTACATGATTTGATCTGGGTAGATCTTTATTATTTGATAGAATCTAAGCGGTTGTGATATGTTTGACGTTACTTCAACATAGCTGTCTAATTAGTCCAACTTCAACAACTATAGTTATCATTTTGTGTTAGTTAAAGCAAAAAAAAATTCTGAGAAATTTGCCGAAAATGCAAAATTATTCTACATCAGAGAGAATTAATAGAATACTTAAATGTTCCTGATTTTATCTAGCCTGGTTTTTTTATGGGAATATGTTAAAGACAGTGTTTAAAAAACTCGACCAACTATTGTCGACAACATGAGAGAAATTATTGTAGCTGTTTTTCGAGGTAGAACTCCACATATGCCTTTTAAAGTGAAAAGATCCTTTTGAAAAGACAATTATTATTTTATGCAGTTAACAAGAAAGGAAGCATTTTGAGCATTTGATTTCATCTAACTAATTTTTGTCACATAATTATAGGTTTATATCTAGTTTTAATTGTGTAATATTAAAATATGTTTTAAACGTGTATCTTTTTATTACCGTTGAGTATTTTACTCTACAATCTTTAATTTTTGTTAAATTAACAAAAGATATATCACGGCCACCCCTAGATTTTTTAAATAATAAAGATCTACTGACCCAAAATCATAAAAATTAAAACATATAGGAAAATCTTTGTCTCAGGTGTAGGCAACATTAATAATATTTTGAAGATATATAAATTCTCCATTGAACACCGGAATAATATACTGGGTGTTCCATTTAAAATAATGGAGTAACTTGCTTTTAAAAGTGACTAATAATGTTCCATATTAATTTTGTCTCACCCTGTATAATTTTTCGGGTCAAATTTCAATCTGGTTTAACATGGTTACTGTAATTAAATATCAGGCTATACAAGGTCAACTAAACTTTAGGTAGCTGTTATCGAAATTTAAAATTTGCTCTTCATTTTCACACAATGTGAAATATGTCAAAATCCTTAGATTTTAGGTATATGCTTCTTTAATAAAACTCACCTTTATTTTTTTTCTAGAATCCGAAAATCAATTAATATATATGGTGTTCCATTAGAAAAAAAAAAATTTTTTTTGGGGACACCCTGTATAATTCTATATATTTTTATAAAATGCTTTCAGTTAAACTACATATGGTGCCAAAATCATTTTGATATAAACTACCCTCTGTAAACTACCGTTCTCCTTGGAGCTTCCGCGGAGTATGGATCCGGAGTATGGAACTGGAAACCGGCCCGGGAATAACAGGCAACCGGCCCAAATCCACAAAAACAAAATGACCATAACGAAGAAACATATTTTATTTATTAATATACAGGGTGTCCCAGAAATAAGTGCAAGTATTTTAACTGGTAGTATATTTTGGCTTCAGAAACACGCCAATCATTTTTTTTTGCGAAAATTTGTAGTTTTTTGAAGAAATTTTTGGAATTTTTTTTAGTTTTAAGTTAAGAAAACATAATTTCTTGATAATCTGGCAACATAGGTAGTAGATTAAATTTACATGAAAGAAAATACAAAAAATATCCAGTGGTTCTCAAAATTTAAGCAAAAAAGCATTTTTTGTTTAAATTCTCAAAGTAAAATAACTCAGTTATTTTGGACTTACTTGAAAAACGGTAAAGAGAAAAAATGTTTCTTTTCACCAAATCTGGCCCTCTTAAAATACTTGCACTTATTTCTGGGACACCCTGGGTAAGGGTCAAATCACCCCAAGTAAGGGTGATTTTCGCTCGGGCGAAAAAATCTCTTTTGGCTCCAATTTTTTAAAAATATTGAAATTGTCTTGATCAAAATTTTTATAAAGATCAATATCGGGTCGGACATCTGAATTTTTACTATATAGCTCAGTTTCACAGGGTTTTACTGTTTTATTTCCATTATCGATTACGGTAATTTGATCTTGAATATGCTACGATTTTCAATCACGGGTTTGAGAAACTTTAAGACTTCCTGATTCATTCAGTTCAGCTAGCCCAATCCTCTCTGAAATACATTATTTTTAACTTTTCAGGTATATACTTTCTTACAGATTGTAGAAAGAAATTCTCTCTTTTCTGGTACAGCAGTAGCCTCGTCATGTATACCTGTTTTAATTTTGGTATAATTCTCATTGCGTAACTTTTCCTAGTTTCTACATTTGGTATTTTGTATAATAATGCCATGACACCAAACGAAAAAAAACTTGGCAATACCTACGCAGTGGATATAAATGTGTTTTAATAAAAGAATAGTGGTAAAACCAAAGGGTAAAACTATACAGAATGAGTCTTAAATAAGTGCAAATATTTTCAGGGGTGGTTCGACCCCAAGAACACGTCTATGAATTTTTTTTGAAAAAAAAAGATGTTGAAAATCGTGTTTTTTCTTTTAAATTTTTCTGTAGATTTTAGAAAATTTTTTAGAACTTCCTGTTCATCGCAAATTTTCCCACTGTATAGTTTCTTAATCTTTGATATTACGGCACAAAAGGAGATGCAAATGCAGAAAGATTTAGGTGGTAAATTTTTTTTTAAATAAATCAGTTTTTTGTTTAAAAATTCAAACTTTAATAACTCGGTTATTTTAGACTTATTTGAAACACGGTAAAGAGAATATATTATGTTTCTTTTATTCATATCTACCAGCCCTGAAAATATTTGCACCAAGCAACACAAATAAGGTGCACTTATAGACTCACCTTGTATAATAAAACATTTCAAATGGAACAACAAACAACAGATGTTTATTAAAATTATGAGTGTCTCAGAGAAAGACATCTTACAATAGTTATTTCACAAATTGGTGTTTATGTTTAAAAGCAACTAACGATTATATTGATGCAAATTGATTAGTTAGTTAGGCAGTCACTAAGAACCTTACGTAACTTTAGTTAGAAGATTAACCATTTAATTTTTGCTAAATCAATCTTTTTTGAGCTCTGATCGGGATAGGGACCGGTCCACCGGCCTATCTTCCTACCGGCCCACCGGGAATTTTCCCGTTTTCCCATATGGCCCATCCACCCCTGGCGGAGTATGAGAGGCGTCACCCTGTTGAGCTATCAATGTTATGTTGGTAGACCCACTACAGTTTTTAAAATTCACATATTATTTATAAGCCTTTCTTAAATCTTATTAATATTAAAAATCCTAAAAACAACTTACTTTCCTAGTGAAAAGCTGTTCAGAGATATGGCAGATCGTATGGTTGCTGACGGATACAAGGATGCCGGATACGAGTACGTGATTATAGATGATTGCTGGGCCAGCAAAGAACGAACGACTCACAATAAATTACAACCAGATCCAGAGAGATTCCCTAGTGGTATTAAGGCACTTTCTGATTATGTAAGTAGGTAAATTACTATAAATTACATTTTACTAACTGATTCTGAAAATGAAACATATTTATTCGTTTTTTCCATGGCAACTGTTAAAATTGCCTTAGTAGCTAAAAATAGTAGATAAAATAGTACTTTAACCGCAAGAGTAGATTGAATGATACTTTAACAGCTAGGATAGGTTAAAAACTTTATTTCTTCTCGCACGTTTTTTAATTGCTTCCATTTTTGAAAATTTTTGTATTCCTTTTCATAACTTATTCGGGATTTAAATGGAAGTAAGTGGTTTGGATATGTCGTTTGTCGCCTCAGCCTGAATATCTGTTGGTAATTTACTTATTTCGTTTTGAGTCATTTCTGGCTCCAATTCAATCAGCAATCGACACGAAAGAGTATTAAAAAATGTTGACTCAAAACTGACAACTAAAGAGACAGCTTTATTTATTTGTCAAATTACATAGAAACCAACGCCAACCCAGCACAATATTTTTTCTACTCGTAATAAATTCCTTGAAATAATAATTTCTGAATATTTTTTAAAACGTATCTCGCTATGGAAAAAAAATATTGTTTTATACTCGACAATAAAATTGCATTATCGTCTTGTATAAAAAATAACTATTTTAGGTTCACGAAAAAGGTTTAAAATTTGGCATATACGCAGACTATGGTACCCAGACCTGCGCAGGATACCCCGGCAGCATCGAGTACTTGGAATCTGATGCGCAGACCTTTGCTGACTGGGGCGTGGATTACTTAAAATTGGACGGGTGTCATTCAGAAGTACTCACCATGGAAATCGGTAGTACTAGTCTAAATAAATGAAAAATATATATTTAAACTTTTTTTAATTTTAAGGTTATGGATTAATGGGAAGGTACCTGAATGAAACAGGAAGACCTATTGTATATTCTTGTAGTTGGCCAGCTTACCAGGAACCCATAGGAATTCAAGTAAGAATAAATCATTGATTTTGATTTTACGATTTTTTTAATTTATATTTTAGTATTTTATTATACAGGGTGGCGCACTTTATTAGCCTCGGTTGATTATACGAAAACGGAAAGATGTAGAAACAAAATATTTTACTTGTATATGTGAGAGGCAATGTGCAAAATTTAAAATTATTTTGAAATATACAGGGTGTTTGGTGTTTCAGAACTAAGATCCATATTAAAGTTCTATTTTTTCTTATGGAAATTTTTCTTAAATTCTTTAAATATGCATACATTACATTTCAAAATTAATTCTTATACTAAGTTCAAAGGTAGATAATAAACTTTACTGAAAAAGTTTTAATGCTTCCTTAAATTTATACAGGAACACCAGAAATTGGTGATCTATTTTCAATATTTATTTTACATAAAATCTCCGTTATTTTAAATGCAACACTCTATATTTTTCTAAATAAATCAAAGCAGATTCAAATGCTCTTTCAAACTATGTTTTTTAGGGTTTCCTATACATATTTAATTCAGGTTTTGAATAAAAAGCGATTTTTAAGTAAAATAGCAATCAAGATGGCTGGTGTCGTCATGGTAGTTTTCTAGTGACAGTAACTATTTCAAAATCGACCTTATATAGTTTATGGACATTAATATTTATAATTTATAACAGTTTACTTAGACACAATGGATCTGTAAGGTCGAAGTGATTAACCCCCCTCCCACAACAGTTTACTTAAATTTATCTATAATAGTTTAATAAGTAAATAATATTCTTTATTTTATCAAGAAAAATATAGCAGTATCTGCTGGCGGAACGAATGGATATGTTACTAGTGATTTTATTCTGTGAGGAAAATTGATTCTTGTCCTCAAGGGCTTATGCTCAAAGATATCAAAATAGGAATCTTCCTGATAAGCGTTCCTTTGAAAAACTACTTGTCCTATTTCGCAGAGCTTGGAGTGTGGTTGGTTTATATAAAAAACCTATTAGGCAGAAACCTGTCGTTGGAAGTGAAGAAAATGAATTTGCCGTAATTGGCTCTTTTATAAAAAATCCATATATCTATTAAAATCATCATAAAACAAATCAAAGAACTACTTCTTCGTTTTTTCTTGATAAATTAATAAAAACATATTTAATAAATATTATTTATTAAACTATTGTAGGGCTAAATTAAATAAAAGGAAACTGCTGTAAATTTAAATAAGTTCATAAACAAATATCGATTTTCAAAATAGCTTATAGTTTTTCCGAAGTCAATTGGAATAGGTTGGAACACTTAATTTCGGCATTCTCTTTGTCGATGCTTTTGTCGGTATCGTCTGGACAAATAGCATTGAGAATCTCAATATTTCCAATTGATTTCGGAAATACTATACTAACTCTCACTAGAAACTTGCCATGATGACACCAGCTCTCTTGGTTGCCATTTTATTTAGGTATAAGAAACCCTAATATAGTTTGAAATTGCATTTAAAACTGCTTCGACTTATTTTAAAAAATACAGAGTATTTTTGAAATAATACAATATTTTAGAGAAAATACAGAGACCATTTGAAATAACGAAGTTTTTCTGTAAAATAAATATTTAAAATAGACCAGCAATTTTTAATGCCCTTGTATATGTACAGGGTGGGTCAAATTCGACGCTTTTAAATGGAAACACCCTTTTCTATAGGAGATAGACAAAAACTAATATCGGTGTCTGGAGCTCAATTTTCATCAAAAACAAGATGGTGAAAACCGCACATCAATATCTGTTACCGTTTCGGAGTTACGGGGTGTTTTTCAAAAAAGTGCATTTTTAACAAACCGCTGTAACTGTTTTGCTATGGAAAATTTTGTATTTCTATGAAAACATTTCCAAAGCACCTTTTTACGTACAATTTAATGGTTTAAGTATATTTTTTTTTAAATTAATAAGTTATCAACAGAAAGAATGATTTTTTATTTGGGACACCCTCTATATTTTTAATTAACTGAAAAAAATTTAAAATTACCTTTCCAAAAATATAGCACACTGGATATTTTGTTATAATCCCCTTCGAAATACAGAATTTTTAAAAGTTCGTCACTTTTAACTAGTAGGCTTTGGACCCCTTATTGATGATATGCCCTTAATGGAACTCGAAAACATATTTTTCCAGCAAGACGACGCATCGCCCATGAACGCTGAAGTTATCAGCAAATTTTTGCAGCCAATTTCAAGAATAATTGAATAGCTAACCAAGATCCTAGCCGTTGGCCGTCGAGGCCGTCTGACTTAGTGCCCATGGATCTAATCCTATAGATATATTTGCGGAAGAATAAAGGTTCCTTATTCTTCCGTATAATCTAGACAAGAATTAGAAATACTTAGCAGTTATGAGATATATTTTTGGAAAGGTAATTTAAAATTATTTTCAATAAATTAAAAATATACAGGGTGTCCCATATAAAAATCAAATTTTCTGTTGGTAATTCTTAAATTATTAATTTAAAAAAAAATATACTTAAACCATTAAACTCTACGTAAAAAGGTGCTTTGGAAATGTTTTCATAAAAATACAAAATTTTCCATAGAAAAAGAGTTACAGCGATTTGTTAAACATGCCTATTTTTGAAAAACACCCCGTAACTCCGAAACGGTAACAGATATTGATGTGCGGTTTTCACCATCATGTTTTTGACAAAAATTGAGCTCCAGACACCGATATTAGTTTTTGTCTATCTCCTATAGAAAAGGGTGTTTCCGTTTAAAAGCGTCGAATTTGACCCACACTGTACATTAAACGAAGCCATCAAATTTTTCAGTAAAGATTATTTCCCTGGCTTAAAAGTCAGCACAATAATTAATTCTGAAAAGTAATGTACAGGGTGTTGACAATCGTTTTTATTATAGCATGCATATTTAAATATCATTAAATATCTCAAAAACGAAAGTTTGAAAACTTGTTTAACCCTTATAATAAATGCCTTATTTTGTGTCCAAGGCAAGGGTCCAAAAATGAAATAAAATACCGAATGTTCCGTTAGGAAAAATATAACTTTGGTGTGGATCTTAGTTCTGACATACCCTGTACCTTTCAAAATAATTTAAAATTATGCACATCACACATAAAATATGTGCCTTCCCACAAATACCCATAAAATATTTTGTTTGTACATCTTTTTGTTTTCGTATAATCAACCGCGGCGAATGAGGTGCGCCACCCTGTATACAACGTTTACATTATTTTATAGAGTATTTTACCTTATTTTAGGCGAATTATGCTAGGTTGGCTGAAGTGTGCAATCTATGGAGAAATTGGGATGACATAGACGACGCTTGGGTTAACGTAACGAGTATCCTGAAATGGTTTAGCGATAACCAGGATAGAATAGCAAATTACTCTGGTCCTGGACACTGGAATGATCCAGACATGGTAAATAAAATCTAGTAGTCCCGCTACAGTAAACTATGTACCAATGCGATAAAAAAAAAGTAGTACAAGAATTAGTAGTCTCAGATAGAACTCCTAGTCTATAAGGATATCTATATGCCCCCGATATATGATATGATATAATTATGCCACCTAACTTTTTAGGCGTTACCATGGATTTGGTAATAATTGGTAGATATACGTGGCGAAATAAAAATATAAAAATTCTGATGACACTGAGTTATCAGTTTGAAAGAAAATATTTTATTATAGACCAGGAGATTAAATCATATTTTGTTGTACTACTTTTTTTTATCGCAATGGTACATACATACTTTTGATTTTTACAATTTAGAAATGGTTAGTACTCTCACCGGCACGAAAAACGGTGTCGTAATAAATAAAAAAGATAATAATAATATGATTTTGCAATGACAACATAGATAAAAGACCTATAATATAATATAATAACAATAACATTATATAAATCATAAAATAGATATTTACGATACAAGTGAGTTAACAGGTAACGCGTGTGAAAGTTGCACGAGTGCGTAGCACGAGTTGTGTAACCACACAAGTATCCTAATGGAGTTAACTCGCGTGTATTGTACAATATTTTATCTACGTCTAACTATAAAAACAGTAAACTTCAGTAAACGGACAGTAAACTCCTGTGGAACAGGCATATTAAGAACACTACCAGCAAAGCCATAAAGGCTCTCATGATATGCAGAAGACTGGCCGGAAATAGATGGGGCTGCTCCCCTAACATTTTGCGCTGGATGTATACCATGATAGTAAGACCCATGATTACTTATGGAGCAGTTGCCTGGTACACAAAACTAGAGCAACGGACGGCAAGGCTAAACCTATGCAAAGTCCAGAGACTAGCATGTGTTTGCATCACAGGAGCCATGAGAACCTGTCCAATAGCAGCAATGGAGGTCATTCTAGATCTAACACCACTGCACATTGTCATTGGTAGATATGCCAATGCGACAATGATTAGAATGGTCACTAACGGAATTAGTACTGGGAGAATTGTCAGATCAGGGGCTTGGAACACCCTCAAAAAGGAAATACAACTCATGCAACTCCCAGTGGACGATATGCCAAGAACGTACAACTTTGACAAACATGTCAATGTAGTATTGAGCAATAAGAAGGATTGGAAGAGCGAAACGCTTGCCCAGCAGTTAAAAGACCATACCATAACTTGGTATTCTGATGCTTCCAAAACCAATACGGGAACAGGGATCGGAGTGTTTGGGCCGAGAGCTAATTACTCCGAACCAATGGGCACTTACCCTAGTATCCAACAGGCAGAAATCTACGCTATCGAGAGATGCGTACAACTTATCTTAGATAGGAACTATCGGAAACAAGAAATAGCCATCTTGTCTGATAGTCAAGCAGCGTTAAAGGCGATCAACTCAGTATAAATCAATTCGAAATTGGTCAAAGAATGCATAGAGAAGCTGAATAAATTAGGCAAAGAAAACAAAGTCCTCCTACACTGGGTGCCTGCTCACCAAGGGATAGTAGGCAATGAAAAAGCAAATAATCTAGCTAGGAAAGGAGCGAACACTCCACTAACTGGACCAGAACCGTTCTGCTTTCCAAGTGGTAACCAACTCAAGGCGGAACTCAAGAACTTGGAAGATTCCATCCGCAACCTGGAATGGAAATCTTGCAATGGTCTAAGACACTCGAAGAAGTTTCTGAGAGCTTATGATCAAGAAAAATCACAGATCTTCCTGGGTCTGAGTAAGAACAATCTTCGGATTGTCACGGGATTTTTAACAGGACACTGTCTCCTCAATGAACACCTCAGTAGATTGAAACTAAGAAGAAACGGCGAATGCAGATTCTGTGGGGAAGATGGGGAAACACCAGTACACCTCATAACTGAGTGCGCCGAGACGACAACCATTCGTGCCATGAATTTTGGTACGACTGATATTGGAGATGGAGAACTACCCTCTATAAAACCGTCCCAGATACTGGCTTTTGTCAAAGCCCTGGGACTGTATGATGAGTTATGATTCAAGAAAGGGGGACACAATGGATCTGTAAGGTCGAAGTGATTAACCCCCCTCCCACTCATTCTAAATTCTAAAAAAATTCTAAAAACTATAAAAACACACAATGAATTTTACAAATTATTGTACTTAACTATATACTTATCCTAAAAATCAATTACCTTAATACCTTTGTTCAAATAACATCATGCATGGCAATGTCCATATGACAGTAAATAATATTGATGTCACTCGTTTAAAAAATGAGCGATTCTGAAAGTATTCCCTCTGACATTGAAGAAGAGGCATTCAGAGCCATTTTTTGATTGCTTCCAGCAAGATCGAAACAGAAGTATGAATATACATACTCTAAGTATGAAAAATGGTGCACCGAAAAAAAAGTACACAACTATGGAAATGAAAAGGTACTCATAACATATTTTTCCAATTTAGTGCAAAATAAATGTTTTACAAAATAGTTTTTTTTCTTTGGCAGTGATCTAAACAAGGAGTGCGGTAATGAAAATGTGTGAGTTAAGAAGCTCTTAACTCACTCAAAATGCTTGAGTTAAGAGATTCTTAACTCACTGACGTAGATAAAAACCATTTTATAGGTCTGTTGACTAGGAGCAAAAGCAAAGGCATGTTTTTTAATTAGAGATTAATTAGTCGGAATTAATTTTCTGTCAACGAATTTTTAAAAAACTTTTTGTATTGTATTGTTAATAAGATATTTTACAAAGTTTACCTATTTAAATTCGTTGCTTTCACTTTAGTATTTAAATAAACACACATATAAAATGCATACGTACAAAATCGCTCCGTGTTCCGAAAAAGCTCTGTATCAGGATTCCTATTTGAAATTTTCACTCCAAACCTTTTACAAAATATGTGTTTAATGATAGTTCACATTTCAAAAATATTTTTATAGACATACAGGGTGAGTCAAATATATTTTTACACTAAGTTTTAGTTTTTGAAATTATTTAACTTTTTAGTATCTCCCTCTAAATTAAAAGAAAACCCCCCATCTGTTAATTATTCGAGGGAAAACAAAATGTTGACATTTTGGTGAAAGTTTGAAATACCCTGTGGAATATGTTAAAACAGCAAGAAATTTAGAAATTATTTTATCATCTAGATACAGCCTTTCTCGATAGTTTGTTTTTTAGTTCGTCTCATTATCTTTATTTTTGTTAGAGATATTCGCTTTTGAAGGAGACACTAACATTTTTTCGTAATTTTTACATTAAGACCATGCTTTTGCTTTTGGTCCTAGTCAACAGATCTAGTAAGTTCTGATCCCGAAGCAGGCATTCTTGACATAAGATTTGCTTCATTTAGTCTTCTTACAGTCCGTTAGTTAATATGTACCTTCCTTAGGTGCAATTCATTATAAATTTGAAAAGCTGGCAAACGGCGGTTTCTTAGCGAGAAACTTGCAATAAGTCGATCGTCTTCTCATACGAAGTCGATTAGAAGTTCTCATACTAAGGTTCCTGGATGTCTAGATTGACGTCCTCTTGGCCGTGGTCATAATTTAAAAACCACTCAGTATACTCTATGGTATTAAGGTATTTTTGGAATCGGAATTTTAAAGCAAATTCACCGAACCAAACAAATATCAACCATTTCTTACCTCAACATTTTAACTCTATATAATTTTAGAAAATGTTTTAAATCGACTTACAACATTTCACTTCAATGCAAAGTTTTGTTCTCCTTGCAAAAACCACGTCATATATGACGCGCCACCCTGTATAAATCGATTTCAATCAAAATTTCAATGATTAGAATATAAGCAGAATAGGTATAGCTTATGCATTAGATTCATTTATTTCAATAAATTTACTTAGAAAGAAATTCAAAAAATCAAACAATTAAGATGGAAATAACTAAAGAATTTAATAAAATTATTAAAATAAAAAAATAAAAACAACGAAATAAAATGGGTAAACATTTTTTAGTATTTTATCTATAAAACACAATATAGAATGTTTTACATTAATACATTCACAGTAATTGAATTCCGAGGTAAAAGGTGGTAAAAGTCTCTAGACACTCCATAGCTCAGAGCCGATACATCGTTTTACATGGGTGACCTTCAACAAATTAGAGACAAGCTGCAATTTTGCATGGAGCTTCATTTTGTAGATCTTTAAACATCCTGAAACCCCAGCGATGAACCGTTGAGCCCGTCACCCCAAAATCACCCCTACAAGGGGTAAAAATGACCCTTTTTTACTTTTTCTTCAATAACTCTAAAACGACGAATTTTAGGAAAAAAGTGACGAGTAAAAAATTGAAGAGTAGAAAATTTTCAACCACATAGGTAAAGGACCAAAGTTTTTAGAATTTCAGTGGCGCAGGTGCGAATTTTTTAATTTAGGAGGATTGGTTTTAATAACCCACCATTCTGTGTTTAACTTCAAATGAAAGCATTTTTGAGATAAATCTCGAGACCAAAAAATTTATTAGGATACAAGTTCCTATAAAAACGATCTTTTTAATAAAGGTAAGTTACCAGTGGCGGAGATACTTTTTTAAATGTGCGTTTTTTACATTTTAAAAACATTGAATAAGAAAAATTGCAGTCTTACCAATAATTTCCCGTGAAATAGGTATATTAAAAAAATTACACGTTTAATAACAAAATAAGAAAAACCTTAGCTCAAAAATAGGATAACTTATCTTAAGGATAGTCCTCATTCACTTCCACATTTGTTGGGTTCATACATGTAATGCCATTGCATTGACCACATGCCATAGTGCAGGTGAGTCCCATTCGCTTGCATGTACATGCTTTTTTACAGCCTCCCGAAGAGCAATTGCAATTTTTTTTCTAAAACCCATGTAGGAGCAATGGGCTGGTCTGAATGTATTGGATTCATCTCTCGATTTTTCAGGTTCCAACCCCTATCTTGCGGTGGTGAATTGTTATTTAACCAAGCCTGTACCCTGCGATATTTTCAGATCTGT